CATTCGACAGAGTGGATAGGAGGACCTCATGGGACGTTCCTCGACACTATGATCTATCTGAGAAGATTGTCACAATCGTATGGAATTCTTACAACAGACTGCACTGCAACTTTGTGCATTGAGTGCGGTTCAAGAATGTATTCCAAGTGAAGACCAATGACAGACAAAGCTGCTCACTATCCCCCTTTCTCTTTCTTCTGGTAGTTAAGTTGATCATGAAGACCTCCATATCTGAGGGGAAGCACAGAATACAGTGGATAGCTTGGATGCAGATAGACTATTTGGACTTCACAGATGACCTAGCTTCTCTATCCCATTCACAGCAACAAATACAGGTGAAGACAGTCAAAGTAGTGTCAGTCTCCACAGCAGCAGGCCTCAACATTCACATGAGAAAAAGTAATATCCTAAAATATAAAGTGAAGACCAACCAAGTTAAACTTCATGGGGAAGCTCTGGAGGTGGAAACTTTCACGAACCTCAGCAGTATCACTGATAAGCAAGCGGGATGTGATGCAGGCGTTGAGGCACGGACTGACAAAGCAAGACCAACATTCATAAGATTGAAGGACATCTGCAACTCAAAAAACTGTCAGAATTTTCAATAAGAAAATCAAGACAGTACTATTGTACGGAGCTGATATTTTGAGAACTACTATAACCATCATAAAAAAGGTACATATATTTATAAACAGTTGTATACGCAAGATACTCTAGATGCGTTGACGAAAATCAACTTCACCTACGAAATATATTTGTATGTAAGACGTCGTATTAGCTTTGCTTTATCATAAACTCACCTTTCATTAATAAATCTGTTATTATGCCTTTTGCTGATGAAATAATGACATTGACAGAATCCCAACGATCTGTATATGTGCCCACTACCGATAATCATGGTATTCCATAAAGAAAAATCTACACCCTCTTTATTCAGAAATGTTTTACTCTAACGTCAAAATGTACACAGACAATGAAGTTTAAGCCTTGGACGTTTTCGATACGTAGTGATTCTCTCGAAAGTGTGACATCTATGTGGTAAAAACTGCACAAAACCTTGATTATTACCAGAAGATGGCAAAAATGTACTCAGGGTCGTCGCAGATCCCTGAAACAACATAGAGTACAACGAAACAAATCAAGAATGCTGGGCAGCAACAATTTAAGCTATGGTTGACAAAACATGCTGTGGATCTACAAGAACTAAATCAACTCACGATAAAATTGAAAATTATTTTCATTTTGAGAGCATATTAAATGTCCAGAAAATTCTCATTCAGTCTTGTGGTAAACAAACAAAAAAATGTACAGTAGCTAAAAGTTTGAGGATAGTTTCAATATTATCCTTAAGTTAATGGAACCAGGAATCTATAATGATAGAACATGAAAGTTTGCTTGAATTACAGGTCGATGTATCGTAGTGTATGGATTCTGAGCTGACTAGATATCATAGGAGATATGCTGCACAGTGTATCCAAAAGTGATTTAGAGAGGATACTTGACCTACCGCCTTTAGTTAAATGTGTCCGGTAAAACTAATATGAACAGAGTAAACATCGAAGGCTTATTAAGCTTCTTGTTTTTGGGATCAATTTACCATCACAGTCTGTCAGCTAGAGCGTACAGTCCATACTTTTCTATCATTAATAAAATAACACTGACACCGTAATCACTTGTACATTCGTATAATAATATTATGAAAACTCCCTTCTTAATAAGTTAACTGGGTACTATGTTCATTCAGGCCAAACTGTAGTTCATTAAATGTCTTTACACGAACGTATATCAAATGTTGAAGGTTTTTAATTCAACAGAATTGGAAGGTGACATTATTGGAACTCTTTAAGCAGGATGTTGAGATGATAATGATAGGGAGGAGTTAGTAATTTGACTTTAAAACCCATACTAACCCTGTTCACTTTTTATGAAATATTGGTTATGAGAGTTAAGTCAGCTTTCATGTTATGACAATTACAAAATAAGTGTATGACAGGAGACTCCTTCGTAATTCAGATTATTTATCTCGAAGGTTTATGTGCACAACTTCAGACACTTGAAGCATACATGACCGGAGTCAGGTTAATGGGGTCAGATTTAAACGACACTAACGGTAAATAATTAGGTTAGCACTGAAAAAAAGAGGGATCCGTATTGTGATTGAAAACAGACAATAAGAAGCATTACTTCCAGATTTAGTGCTAGTCGACACTTTTCGGTGTGGCCTATCAGTAGATTCGACTTTTCTGTGTTAGAACGTTTAGGGGTTTTGCCCGATCGTTTACAATTGCCTAGTATCAAAATAAAGTTATCGAATCGAAAGAGTCAGCTCTAAACAAAAACATAACATTGCTTACTAAATAGATATTTAGGCTGAGAAGGCTTATCAAAAGCGTTCCGATGGTATGCCGATAATTGTTGATTTCAAGAAGGTAAAACTGCCTCACGAAAAACCGAAAGTATCGGGACACATTGTCACTAGAAAATCTGTATGCAGGCAAGATGGTAATTCAGAGAACTGTGGGCAAATGTAATACACGAAAACGCATGAAATTAGTGTGATATATCTAGGCCCAAATTTAGTGAAAATGATTGTTTAATTTTAGTTTAAGTTTTGTTGCATTCGTTATTCAACACTGATAGTGATCATATACCATTTCTAAAGTTGAAGCTGTGACAGATCGACTTAACTCGGAATCTCATGGCAAAGCAACATAAAAATCATATTCGTCTCAAATATACACTACTTAACTTAGAAGACTCAATATTCTGAATCAAACTGTTATATTTACGCAAAATTCTTAGTATTTGGATAGAGTTCAGGAAAACATCCAATTAAGATGGTAGATAAAAGCTATAAAAATAGACAGCCGTTGCAAAACTACGAACACCAACAACTAGGGGAAATGTAAAATACTGTAAACTTCCACTAACGTTTGATCGAAAGCCGTATTCTAATGAGCACAGTCAAGTTAGGAAAATAAAAGTTACCATAAATCAATGTAATTATCATAAAGTAAGTTTTGGAAGGTAATCAAATTCAAGAACTTACTTCTTGTGAACTCACAACAAATCTGACACTGATAGGTCTAATGAGAACTGGGGAATGAATAATGGAAAAATTATCGCTGAAGGACCCGTTAGTCTTTGGTATTATCGGTAAGGGAAATTCTAAAAAGGTACAAAAGTGTGATCAAGATTAGCGACGTTCGGACCGTCAGGACACCTGAGGTACATTTATTACTTAAGTCACTAACGTAAATGATTATCGGCAACAATTGATGCTACAATACAAATGTCAACGAACGAGCTTAGTGGTCCAGTAGTGAAATCATTTTTTCGGTTTATTACTTCAGACCTATTCTGTTGTTCACGTAACTGATCTAATCCGTTGCGTAGTCATTTCCCTGTTTTTGTTTTCTCTCTTGGGTAGAGCTGCATACGCCCGTGAGAGGATGATGCTGAAGGGAGTTAATTGGAAACTTAGTTAGGAATACAGTCATTACTATTTATTATTAAAAAGGAGGTCATTTTTCTTGGCTTATCAACATTTAGACCACTGTTGTGACATACAGGTTAGGCATAATGGTAAAATCTGATTGGTGGTTATAGATATTTATATGATGCACTAACATTGTGAATATGGGTTCAATCAATACTTGTATTGAACAAAGTTTAACATATGCATATGAATTTGGTGGGTAACTGCCCTACATATATACATGAAGCATATAACGCGAACAACTTGAGACATTTGCCAACTTTAGGGGAATTTACTAACTGTATAACAGGTATCAGAAGAATAACCAATAAAAAAACAAGCAATAATGAAACCTCTCTCTTTTAATACAACGCTATTTTCATGAAAAAGTAATATATATCTCACAGGTACATGTATCTTTATTTAAAGTTAGGAAAAACACTCATAAATTCGTGTATAATTGTAACGACAATGAATGTATTAAATTACTTTACGTCAGCAGATAGTTATTGCTGCTATTTTCGGTGATGCTGTTGATGTACAATTGGGCAGCTACTATTGACTGATGTAATAACAGATGATTCTTTATAATTTTTAAGTGTCTGTACGTCTGCATGCATCGCACAGCTCATATTTGAAGATGACGACGAAGACGACGAGGAGGAACATATTCGAGAAGTTAACAAACAAGATGAAGATAAGTTGGTGTGGAAAGTTGTAGTAATAGGTTTTGTGAAGATTAGATTCTGTTTGTCTTTATAATGATAAGTTGCATGAGCATAAATTTCAGGGTAACTTGCAAAGTCTGTGAATGAAGTTATGGATGGGATGGCTGGTGCACAAAATCTAGAAGTCTGTAAAAAAGTATTATTAATACCACTATAATCATGATTTACTGAAGCAGAGTGGATAAGTATGTTACCGCGTGTATTTGTCGAGGTATTAGTAAACAATTGACCTATATTGCATGTTGGCAACAGAGATGACATCTAGAAATAATAAGAATCAATTTTATGGAAGTATCTCTCTCATCAATAATATGATCACAATATAGAAAATTAATTACTGGTTCATTGCCTACAAACATATTTTGGTGCGTGAATCTCTTAATTTCAATCTGTATTGGTTTGTGCTTATCCCTAATACATATGTGTCGAAGGCTACTCATTATTTTATAATTCTGTTTGCATAACGGATACATGTCTTTGTATTTTTTCACGTGAGAATCCATGCATCGAACAAATAAATATATTGTAAAAAAGTTCAGATCCCTTAATATGTGTCTGGCATATGTACTTCACTGAACATTCAAGTAATGACGATTATGAATTCCTAAGTCAAAATATAATGTTGAGTGAAGTATATTCCATAATTAAAGACTTATAAAGAATTAAATGAACTTATAAAAGCTAAATTCAGCTTATTTTCACAACTTTCCCGGTAAAAAGTTGTCAATTGTACATGTGATGCATTATGTGTTTGTATCAATTGAATCTAGTTGGCGGACTAGTTTGCCGAAAGCATGGTGAGTTGTTGTAATATTTGCTATCTCTGTCATTTAGGCTCCTGTCTCCGTTAAAGATGTAGATGGACACATTTACGTCAAAGCCTTGGCGCAGTTTCTGAAGAAGTAAGATGAATAACATTCCTTGATTGCACTGTAGAACCGGTAAGGTAAGGCTACCTGATTGGACGGACGTGGTGAAACTATCATCAGCCAACCAGTTAGCACCATATAACCCTGACTGGTTTTATATTCGATGTGCCGCTATCCTTCGGCATTTATACATCAGGCCCACTGGCTTGATAGGCTTAAGCAAAGCATTCTCTAGAAAGAAGCGCAATGGCGTCAAACCATCCCATCGTTCCCTGGCACATTGCTCAGTTATAAGGAAAGCCATTCAACAAATGGAGGCACTCGGAATGTGTCAGAAACGTGAAAATGGGTAAGCTGAACTTTTGTCATACATGTGATCTTGAAATGAAATAAACCATCGTCAGGTTAGAGGAATAAATAAACACCTCCAGTTCAATTTATTCAACTGGCATTAAGGGTATTGAACAGTATATCGTCCTAATTGCTTCTGTTGCTGTATGTGCGGTAGCACCGGTCATGTAAATTTTTAGGCATAGCAGACCCAGTGATACATTTAAAATTAAATGGCGCTGACTAAATTGTATCCGTGGTAGTCTTGATAACATACTCATGTAAATTTGAAATGCTTGTCAATATATGTGCTCTTGCTAGCTTCAGCATTTGTGTAGGCGTCTATCTTTTAACACTGCAAGGACGCGATGTGAAAACAGGCAATTTTTATGTACTAGAAATGCGTGGTCCTGATGAACTCGGTTATATTGAATAGGCAATTTTCAATTAGGTTGTCGATTTGCAAGATTTTAAATCCACGAGCCTGTCGAATTAACTACTGCGTAATCTGCTTTGGTAAAATGAGTACTTTCTGTAAGTTGATATATTTTTGTGCGTCCTGTTTTTTCAATTGATTAAACCCTGATTGATTAACATTTAACATTAGGAATAACTCTTCAAACACTTTAATTTCAGCGGGAGATCTCTTACATCGACTGGAAGGCGCGATTTGGACCGCCTGGCATATCAAATTCTTAAGGAGCGTCATTAATCCATGAAATATAATGTTATGGTTTAATAGTGTTTTCTTTATGACGCGTTGTATAAGACAATATCAATGTATATGTCACAGGATGATCTTTTTTCAACATTTCAGTTGTGCTTACATAATAGGTTAGCTCACACGCCGCAAAATGTTGCCCGTTATTCAGATATCGTGCAGCAACTTAATCAGTTTGTGCAAAGTGAGCTGGATGTAATGTTCGGTCAACCTGCATTCGAGAATAAGACACGTGCTTTACGTAATTCCCCAGTTTTAATCATTCGTCATTACGTCTAGGAGATTGTGTTTTATAAGCTGTTGTAAAAGGTTTGTTAAATGGTATACAAGATAATACGACAAGTTTCGTTTTAAACTGATTTCGTTCCCACGTTGATTTTTCTTTCGGATTATTAGTTACAAATAGGATGACCATCAATTGCATGCGACCACTTTATCCTGATTTGAAATCTTGAGCTATTTCACCAAGACTAATATCGCAAACTCTATGACAACGTACAACCAAAGTAAATCTAATACGTGTCCTATAAAGCTGTCTATAATACGTTTATTGCCTAACAGTTAGGTTGCTTATCATAGCATATGACCTATGTGAAGTGAGTAAAACAAGAGGCCTATACGTCGAAGGACATGGTTCATTTTTACAGCCTGGTTTCCCATTCTGCCTTTACACCCCAAACCGGAGACTTTTGTAAAAGTAGTATGAATTGTTGTTTGTCAGAAAACGGCAGTGGTGCGTAGCTGATGTTTTGCCTAAACAAACGGGGCCAGGGTAAATGTATAGAGAGTTTTGATACAGAAAGTAGCTACCTTAAGGCAAAAAGCCATAGTCTGAGCTGCGGGATGGATTTTCAATACGAAGGTACTGAGTAGTTCGCACTTTTTGACCGACACTGGTCGATATTGACTTTGTATTAACTAAAGACACTAAACATTAACGGTAGATCGTGATGGATGTAGACCTTCTCTGGAGTAATGAAGCTTGAAATGATGTGCCAGAACAGTGATGATCAAGTTACACCTAAATTACGTAAATGACTCTGGCGAGACCTCACCATGCACATTTGGTTGCAGTCAATTTTGTCGACTGGTCCATGTCTACAGTTTCAAAATCTCACTTGTCACGTCCACACACATTCACTAATATAAAGCTGGAATCTGACACGGTCCGTTGAGAAATATTTGGACACAAGATCTAACGTGCTTCAAATACCATCTGCGTCAGACTAGTTCTAAATTCCCTACTTAGTGTGGTGTGATGTCGGTCAAATTTAGAAGATATTAGTTTTTATACTTTCAACCGAGCGTGCTTCATTTGTACTTGTTGACTGTACTGGACGGTCCATGATGTCGGGCTTGTATTTGCGAACCGTCGACTCTACAGTGTTGTAATTCGAACGACGGTATATACCGCTTAGTAAGGATAATACGATGTTCAGGATAAAAGCTAGCCGTTCTCACTAGAAGTTTATAGAACTCAACGATTATCTTCCTATTTCAAATTTCTTGTTCGTAGTTACGTGCTTTTAGTGTTTAAAAACAGAAGGCAGTAATTAACTGGTTTATAACATTTCCTGTGTCTAGTGTTTATCATGTAACCTATATAGAGTCTTCAGAAGACAATTTCAAGTGTGAGAATACAGTCTGAATGCTACATTTCCAAGTGTCGACGATCAGGTTTAGTAAGATGGCATATTAAGTACGCGTCCTATGAAACATATGTAGTCTCCCAAAATGTTTTCTTAATTGTTGTCCATTTGAAGCGTACGAGTCGAATGAGTCACGTCTGGCAGGCGTGCTTTTATTGATAAACGTATTGCACACAACTACGCTTACCGCAAATAAGTTAACGACCTGAGGATTTTCAAATTGGTTTTCTAGCTCTAGTGCTTGTACTGATGCTGCCTATGATGATAGTGCTAGTTTTGTTTGATTAACATATAAAAAGTCTATGTGCATAGTGAAGTCGTCTTTTATATACAGCAAGGCTTTACGCAAACAAATTGAAAGGGTTAGAAGTGTATATGAATTTGAATTCAGAAGGCTTTCGTTGACTGTGTGTATAAGTTCATATAGGCGTATTGTGACTGCGCACTAGACTGCAATTCTTGATATAACGCACTAGCATCTAGTAAAAAAAGAGAAAGTAGTTCAACACTTATATAAAATTAGATTGATTTACTTATTATGACCTTTATTCAACATTAATTCCGTTTTAATTCAATGTAACGATTATTCAGTATAGTATTTGTTTCTATTTTCCCATATGACATTATTCTGTATAATATACGATGTTCTTGTATTCTAATGCACATAAACTATTCTCACCATATGATTTGTTATAACTCTGGGTATTTTTTATATATGTAATTCTATTCTAATTATTAATCAAAAATGGGTATATGAATCAATATATAAATGAGTGTATTTTCGCCTAGGGTAGTCGTGTTTTGGGGGTTAATAAATCTCCACTTATACCAGTCTTTGTGTTATCATTTTGGCGTCGGGGGAATCGCAGTGGTTCCTCGCTTTACAAGTATAAGTGACAAGCGATTCCGACATAATAATCAGCGACGACCAGATACAACGAGTGGCGTTCAATCGACAAGACATATCAGAAAGTAAAGTTTGTCAATAATTAGGGAGTTTTCTCATCGTGTTCGCAATGCTGATATCATGGGTTTGCGCATACAGTAGACAAAAGATTTTATATACAAGATGTAGGTGTTTAAAAAGGTATCATCAGGTGTGTCAGTTTGTACATTTATGTATTTACTGAACGACTGATTCATATTTTAGTTTAACCTGTAAAAGATATCAAACTGGTTATGTACATAACGCGATTTTGTATTGTATTGTGATCTGGTATTCTAGGATACATGATGAGTCTAAAAATACAAAATGTAATTGACCGAACTTCTCGACCTCCTAGTATCTAGACTGGGTGTAGCTGGAAACGTAGAATTTGCGTTGGACTACCACTTGTGATAGGTACTGTACCTGACACAAAGTCGCAAATATTGGCGCTGTGGTTGGGAAGTTTAACATACACCTAGCTAATTAGATGATTTCCGCAATATATGTCCTACCCACATCCAGTGTCTTTCCTTAATTTCCTCTTCAGTTGGAAGAGGGTCCCATAAGGTCCTCCTATCTACACTGTCAAATGCTTCCTCCTAATCAAAGAACTTGACGTATAGTGACGAGTTTCACTCAGTTGATTGTTCAACGATGATCCATCATGTCGTGATTTTGTCTGTGCACGACTGATCCTTACGGTTCTGCTTACTTTGGTATCTTGACGAGAAATTCTCCTTTCTAGTCCATCGACACTAGGGAAAAATTTAAACAAATTCATGAATCTTCATATACTGAGGTGGTTGGTACATGTTTGATGAAGACTTTATCCAATTTACCTCAATGCGTGATTTCCGCTGGTATGAAACTTAACTGCCGATAAGCTAAGAAGTTTCGTCAGTTCATGGATTTATTGACCGTTGGACTGAGCCGAGTAGGTGTACGCTTGGCGCTCGGTAACTTTTCTAAGAATGTGTTACAATAGCGCAGATTCATTCATTATATCTTGCCAAAGAACTTCAAAAATGGTCTATTATAAAAATTATCTAGTACTTCTTTATACCACGGATGCACATTTTTTCGAATCATATTGTCTACTTAGTTCCTTCGATAACAATTGATACTGTTATTAAATCTACTACTCAGGTATCTTGCCTGTTGTTATAATCCCTTTCTTACGGTTATGACCCAGCTGTTCCTATTGCTTAGTATTCTCGGACACCAATTCAGAACACGGTTGAACAGGAAAGAGATTATATTCCAAATAACAAGGTTAGATGGGAGTAAGAAGCACAATAGGGAAAACGTTAGTATATTTATAGTTTTTACATGAGAAGATTCTAGAGTATTCTCCAAGTATCGACTAGTGCTGATTGGATAAGAATTAGCCAATCAGCGTCCACCAAAGCTTATTATCTTCATAGCAAGAAGACCAAGACTAACGTGCTCAGAGTTTGGTTGTGTGCATCAGAAGTTTCATGATTTGTCAGTGCTACGAGTAGCTGTAATCAAGCAGATCACCTAGCTTATCCTACCCTAACTTAACTGTACGAGACTAACAGTACATTAAACTGATTATCTTTAGAAAGTGTTACTATAGTGAAAGTATTTGGCCACGAATGATCCTCAAAATGTAAAGAAATCGTAATAAATTTTGTAAAAGCTTAGACGTTACGGGACTACATTATACAATATGCTTCAGACGAGATATACTGATTACCACTTTTTGTATCCAGCCAAACAAAACGTAATTGCCAATATAATGCAGTACAAATAATGTAATGCTTATGTTACGCAATAAGGTGTTTATATATATATATATATATATATATATATATATATATATATATATATATATATATAGTAGAATATATAATTTTCACTAACAAAATGAAAAGAAATAGAATAAACAAGCTTACTGCCTTCTAATTTGTTGTCGGACCTTCCACCACTGATCATCAACCTTAAATTATTAACACCTGAGTCATCAGGTGATGAAATATCTTGGTTTAATTGTGAGTACGGTTCGTAGAAATGATGGTCAGGACTCGTGTCGTGAAGATGATCGTGCCCATCATATGCACTAGAACCGCACATGCTGCATATGTTGCCACCACCAGTGGATGCACCATCCGAAGCGCCAGCCGGATCACATCGCAGTTCACAACCATAAGAAGGATTACTAGAAAACAAATAGTTCAATCAAGAGAAAGTTTTGTGGTAATGTCATATAATTTGGTGTTTCATACTTGGCAATGAAGACAATTAGTTGACCAAGAAACCATTTCTTACTACAAAGGATTCATTGTCTATTAAAATTAAACCCAACGAATTATTATTATTTATTTGAACATAAATATTGGTACAAGAGGGCACCAAATATATATGCGCCACACAAAACAACGAGGATTTGAAGAGAAGGAAAAAAAGGTAAGGAGCGTTAAAAAAAGAACGATAACGAACAGATTGGTGTAAGGTAGTGTAATAATAATAATAATAATAATAATGGGGGAAACAGAAACGTACAATCAGAAGAGATCTTTCAGTTAAGGAAGAAGCAACCCCTTTTTATGGAGGAAGTAAAAGAAGGTTACAACAGGATCGCCACTGGCTTCTATTCTGAGTCATATCTGATAACGTCTCTACTCGAGAACGTTTGGATAGAGCCGAATTTCCACCATAGGCGAGCTGCTGTATACGTCGAAAAATAAGGATAGACAAAAGTGGGAATAAATGACGTGGTAAATAATAATAATGTGAATCGTTTGATTGTTAACTGAAGCAAGAAAAGTAGTTTCCATAATTATAGGCAGTTCATCATATTTGTGTGTGGGCTGTGATACTCCCCGGGTGCCCAGACCGAAGCAGATGGTTTTCTTAGGAGGCAACAACTGGAGCCTTTGACCTAAAGGTCTAACCCACAAGGCAGTGGAGCATCGTAAGGAGATGCAATCCCATGGTAGCCGGCGACCAACGATTGGTTCATACGCCATTTGTTCCCGCAGGATACTTGAGCCCATGTGCACCGTTGGTTTGGGATCCGGTTAAAGCGCTGGACACTCGGTTTTCGTCCTCTCAATTTCGTAAACAACTGCCCCGCCGTGAGAAGGCAATGAGTAGGACTTCCCTGACAGAGGCTGTATACGCGTGGCCGTGTGAGTGCATTTCGGGCCCTCCCCGCTCTCGGCCATACTAGGGCATTTGGGGGCAAAAAACCCAACGAACGGAAAAACACAGTGAACCAATAAGGTGAGCTTCACATTGGATGCCTTCAATCAATTCTGAAAATAATTTATGCCAAGTCGTTAATGGTATATCAGAGTTGTCATATCTTTTGATGTCGTTAGCTACGGAGAATCAATTTTCGAATGGATTTCATACGTACAACAGAAAGTTGTTTCTGTTGGAGACAAACTCAAGGTACAGATTTTAAAATGAATACTTATGGATTCTGGTTCTGGCAAATTCAGCTGACAGGTTTCAAAATTAAATAACAAATGAGTCCATTACTTCAATGCTAGTTACCGGCCTTTACTATGAGGAAAATCACATTAGGCAAAACATGTCACGTTTTGGTCATTAGCAACAGTTACTTGGCATACCAACGCACCAAGCGTTTGATGAGTTATATATTCTTTTATCTTTATTATTGATCGTTGTCCATTTTTGGTGTAGGAATATAGTTACGTCCTAGTCAGGCTAATCACGTGTTCTTGATCTGAGTTGTGTTGAAGTCCTCTAGAATAGACACCGGGAGAGAATCTAGTGTAAATATTTGTCAAAGGCAAACTAACGTCCCATTCGTGTAGAAAAAGAAAACCGAGCGTAATAACGAAGCGAATAAGATAACAACAGAATAAGAAGATTCTAATAACGGCAATCAGTACCAACATATAAATCACGAAACCCTAATTGTAAAGAATTCCTACTGAGAATAACGTGCGCAACCGATTAAGATAAAACTTGTGAGAGTAAATATAAATTCAGGAATCAACATTTTACAAAATAAAATAATTATTATAGAAACACTGATGATTACTTGTATATATTACTTCCAATCGCGTGGGTTGCCGAATCGCATAATTTATCAGCTTGCTGACCACGAGCGGCTTTTAAATATCCCCACGTATCACACAACTGGCGTGAAAATTGTGTTTGAAGGAATGCAAAGTGAGCTCTTTCCTCCTGTAACTGATTTGTTAAGAAACTGCGTTGAGAATAAGAAGGATTTGATTCGAATAGATAGACATTCTCATCTTCATTACGTTCACTTGTTCGAGATAACAACTCACGAGGTGCTATATTCCACAAAAGATCATTATTCCCAGATGAAACGTCAAGACTAGCAGCACGGCGAAGATATTCATTTGTTGTAGAAGATTGAAATTGATAATATAATAGTGGATTCGGATAAACTTCCTTAGGATATTTGCGACCTAAAAAATAGTTGTAGCGAACTTCATTACTAAAGTAATGAACTCAAATTATTACGTAGCTTTGACACACGAGGTAAGCGGAAATCATTAGTTTAACTGTGATAGTAAACCAAAACTCTGATTCTTGTTACAATACAAAACAGATTAGAATGATACAAGCAAAAGCAACTAAGAGGAAAAAACAGTGTAGATAACAAATTAAAAAAAACACACCAGATTTTAAACGAACAGACAGACACAACAAATCACATACCAAACACAAACGTTTGAACTTCCATGAGCTATTAATACCTGGAGATAGAATGAAAGTCCGCAGTTGAGATAAGATCAATTTATAAATAAATTACATAAAATTTAGTGAGCAAATAGAATCGTGTGAAACTGAAATGTGACTCACTTGTTGTACTAAAGTGCATAATTAGATTTTTCTAACATTTATGCTTAAGTTTTTCAAATTAAAAGTTACAAGAACCTACATAAAGATATGTACTAAACACATTAATACTTTGGTAGTTAATGATACTTTTTGATGACTGAATATGTTTAAACGGATCCAAATGGTTTGAGTTTAAACCGAAACAATAAAGACATGACAAAATGCTATTGCAAAGATCAAAAAGTTACCTGTCTGAAAGTCATGGTATTTCGAATGAACGTTTGTGGAACAAGGTGGATATTGAAAAGAACAGCCACGATCAGTAGGGCGGGATAAAAAGTGCTTGTTCGTCAAATTAAACTCCTCTGTAGACGCTAATCCACAGTCGTTTTCTGAGTAAGGTATTTGCATGTAACTTGTCGAACGTTCTATTAAGGGAATATGAACTGAGTCAGATGATATTGGGCTTTTCAGCTGCGATTGCTGTCGCTGTAAGCCACGACTAGGCTGTGGACGATTGGAAACTCGACGATGCAAACGTTGAGTAACAATAGGAGAAAGTATTGCAGCCAGAGATGGACTCGAATACATATATTGGCTGCGATCTACAGGATCGTGTGGGACGAACTGAACATGACAGTTTGGTGTACAATACTGTGGGTGTCTCAGAACATTCGTTGGTACAGTATAAGAAACTTCACGAATAATTGTTTGAGGTGGAGAGTGTATGTAACAGATTGTCGGAGGTTGGTGTTCAGTTGACATTACTGCACAAGAACACGGATTATGATTACAATGAGAGACATCTGTTGGTCTGGTACGAGATTTTGAATTTAAAACTTCATCATTGTGAAGAGCAGGCAAGCTACCTGGGACAATAACAAACGGAGAGAAGGAGGTTTCCGGTTCCTTGGAAATGGAATCCCCAACAGATACTACTGGTATTTCACCAGTTAGACAATGATTTCCAGACAATAAAGATTTAATGGCAATACCACAGAAAGCACCATCAGAATACACTGGACCGAGATTGGTAACCAAATAAGATGGATACACAACCACCTAGGTTAGTTAGAAAAAACACAACATCAAATACAAGGAGGATTCAGGAGACTAAAATTTGGGAGAACACAAAGAGTGGATGCACCTGCACCATTGCAAACGATTTTGAGCCATGTCATTCAGGGTCTCTAACCATCGGTTGCTATCATCTCGCGGTCCCCAACCAGGTAGTCTACACCTACCAACATGACTCAGTTCACTTGTCAGTGACTTCATGGACTTGTGCCATGTTTTGGTTTGGCCACCCCTAGCTTCCTTCCAATCTACTCCTATACAACAAAACATCGCACATCGAGGCAGTCGGTGGTTGGGTATACGTAACACATGTCCCAGCCATCTCAACTGATGAAGTTTCACTACTTCATCAATTGATTTGCCATCCTTACCTAGTACCCGTTTCCTAACAACTGTGTTACTTACTCCATGGTCCCATGATATACGAGCAATGTTTCGAAGACACCTATGATCAAATACTAGTAACCTACGGATATCCTCTACTCTTACCGGCCATGTTTCACTGCCATAAAGTAGGACGGAACGAACTGCTGCACAGTAAACACGTCCTTTGGTTGGTAGACGGATATCTCACCTACGCCATAAATGACGCAAGTTGGTAAAAGCTAGTCGAGCCTTCTGTATCCGTGCTGAGATTTCGTCACACACCAGACCACAAGGGCTGATGAGACTTCCAAGATAAGTGAAGCAGTCGATATGCTCAACTACTTCACTCCCTATCACTAGTTCGGGTGTCAATGCAACCCAATCCTGAAGCAACATTTTGCATTTCGAGGGAGAGAATCGCATCCCGAACATGCTTGCATTGTTGCTTAGAGTGGTCAGAAGACTCTGCATTTTGTCAGCGTCTTCACCAAATAGAACTATGTCATCAGCATATTCTAAGTCAACAAGTGAATCTCCCGGTAGAAGTTCAACCCCTGGAAATCTAGACGAGGAAGGTGTCATCTCTAAAAGTACGTCGACGACAAAGTTGAACAAGAATGGAGAGAGTGGATAGCCCTGACGAACACCGCTTGAGGTAATCAATCCTGATGACAATTCGCCATAAGCCCTCACTCGACCAGTTGTGTTCGATTAGAGAGCCTTTACAAGGTTAATGTACTTCTTTGGTACTCCTTTCATCGACAAACACTGTCATAGAACCTTACGATCAACAGAGTCGAATGCCGCCCTAAAGTCGAGAAATACTACGATTGTGGGGCGTCTGAACGTGTGTCTGTGTTCTAGAACCTGACGTATTGTGAATATCTGGTCTATACAACCACGTCCAGGTCGAAAACCGGCCTGGTTTTCTCTAATCTGCTCTTCACGAGCTTTGGTTAGGCGTCGAAGTATTATTGAGGCTAATATTTTAGACACTATATTAGTCAAACTGATTATTCTGTGATTGTCACAAGAGGACTTTTGTCCTTTCTTATAGGCTGGCACAATCAGTGATTGAGACCAGTCAAATGGGATTACGTCCAGTTCTCAAATTCTACCTAAGACCTCAGTCAATCCCGCTGCTAATACTGGACCGCCATCCTTAAAAATCTCAGGGGTACCATTCTATCTTGTCATTTGCGAAATAGTTACGTTCCTATTCAGCGGCGTTATGGTTTGGGAACTTTTTGAGTGAATAAAGGTGTTCGAAAAAAATAGTAAGCTGGGTTGTAATAGGAGAAATCACAACACTACTTCATTGATGTATATCGTCTGCAAGCTGTTGATAACACGTTTATTGCCTAACAGTTAGGTTGCTTATCATAGCACATGACCTATATGAAGTGAGTAAAACAAGAGGCCTATACGTCGAAGGACATGGTTCATTTTTACAGCCTGGTTTCCCATTCTGCCTTTACACCCCAAACCGGAGACTTTTGTAAAAGTAGTATGAATTGTTGTTTGTCAGAAAACGGCAGTGGTGCGTAGCTGATGTTTTGCCTAAACAAACGGGGCCAGGGTAAATGTATAGAGAGTTTTGATACAGAAAGTAGCTACCTTAAGGCAAAAAGCCATAGTCTGAGCTGCGGGATGGATTTTCAATACGAAGGTACTGAGTAGTTCGCACTTTTTGACCGACACTGGTCGATATTGACTTTGTATTAACTAAAGACACTAAACATTAACGGTAGATCGTGATGGATGTAGACCTTCTCTGGAGTAATGAAGCTTGAAATGATGTGCCAGAACAGTGATGATCAAGTTACACCTAAATTACGTAAATGACTCTGGCGAGACCTCACCATGCACATTTGGTTGCAGTCAATTTTGTCGACTGGTCCATGTCTACAGTTTCAAAATCTCACTTGTCACGTCCACACACATTCACTAATATAAAGCTGGAATCTGACACGGTCCGTTGAGAAATATTTGGACACAAGATCTAACGTGCTTCAAATACCATCTGCGTCAGACTAGTTCTAAATTCCCTACTTAGTGTGGTGTGATGTCGGTCAAATTCAAAAGATATGAACAATATGATGATTTTAAAAAATATCTTAAAAGTCGTTCGTGATTTATATTCTCTCATGGACAATGTACATCTACTTTTGCTTAGAAAATTTATATTTTGGTATTGCCCAAAATATCAACTGATTTATGTAAAATGAATTTCAAGTGCATAAGTACTGTGTAGACTAACCTTTTTGTTCGACTGAGTCTTATAAACAGAATGTTCGCTATGTAGATCTACTGGACAACTAGTTGACTCAAACGGCCACATGGATGACTGCAGGTAATAATCTGCACCCCGATCGAGTATCACTTCTGTGCGTTTAACGTGAGGTGTTACAGGAACAGATACTGAACCCGGAGCAAATCGATGGTCAGTATACTTAGAATAGACAGGGAAGGAATTTGCTGGAATGTTTGGATATAGAGGGTCAGTATAAACCAAATTATTTTGGTCTATCTGAATACCATCATCCCAAGATTTTCCATGATGTACTGGGTATCCATCCAAATTGGTTACTGGTGGATAGAAACTATAGTCATCAAAGTAGTTGCCACATCGGTCACCATTCATATCACTAGTAGTTTTATCATTATCTACAGTGGGATTAGAAATAGATTTCTGGTCATCATCATCGTCATTCAACGTTCGGGATATATGCATACCATCCATTTCAACGTCTTTTTGATTTTCTTTCCTCGTGGGACTGAAAGCAACTTTACAGTTGTATTGAGTGGATATACATTGAGAAGTATGAGTGGAGGTCGAATTGGCTACGTAGGTATTGATCAAACGATTATGGTTATCAGAGGTGTAAGGGTTTTGGCGCTTTTGCTGATGTATTAGTGCCTCTTCAAGTTGAGCACACCGAGCCTCTAAAACTGATTTAGCTTCTAAAGCCTCAGCTTTTTCTGCACGTGCTTTTGCCAGTCGTGCTCTTTCAACCTAATTTCAAAGGAAACTTGGTAGATAATAAATTGGAAATAAATAATAAACGATTCGAAAAAATTCGAAGTTTCAGTTGCATAAATGTAAACAATCGATGCGCATACATGTGGATGTGGATGATTTGTTTCAAACTTACACTGCGAAAAAGTAAAATGCAGAAGGATAATACAGAGACATAAGGAGAATATTAATTCAGTAACAAAAAAATACTGAGAATGTAGAAAATGACATATCAATTGAAATAATCTGAAAAGATACTAAAATGGTAGATTACCTCTCGTCTGGCTCTCTCTTCTCTTGCTTGTGCTCTCATTTGCTGGACCTCAATGCTATCCGGCTGACGACGTCTCATGAACAGTGAGTGGTTACCAGCACACATAGACATAACTGTTTTAGCTTGATTTGGGTCTGCCAACCAAACTTCAACAACACTGATTAATACAGTCTCAGAATTCAGATTGGACGATTTAAGCAAACTTTTCGACGGCAGCGAGACATTGTTTTCCGCAGACTGAACCCTAGGGCCACGAAGACAATTCACACTAGTCCTAGTAACTGCGAATTCATTAGCAGAGTAACGAGAGGATTTGATTGATAAACCAGGAATGCAGCGTGAACCTAGTTCAAGAACTAAACAAGGAACTACATATTATATTAAAATTTAAAGAATCGAGCAGCAGATTTTTCCAGTGAATATTCGTTTAGATTGTACATACAATTAAATAATAACTACATCAGAAGTGCACAAATTATTTATAATTCTTAAATCCAGAGAACGACAATGAACAATAATAATCCATTTACTCAATACCACAAATTGCGGTGCAGCAAAAAATCTACAGCATCAGCTGTGTAATATTCTAAGATGCATTCCATTTGTAACTTTTCAAAACACCTTTTTTATAAATGTTACCTAACATTTAGTATTGATCATCAAAGTTTAGCTGCCACGACTACTTTTCAACCCATCATATATATAGTGCTTGAATTCAAATATATTTGCCTCTCGTTTTGTAAAAGCATAGATAAAAAAGAAAATACGCCAAGAACTTTAGGACTTATGTTAGAGTTTTCCAGTAATATGTACTGAAAACATTTTGTAAGCCATTAATAAAGCGCGAATACATAAACCTAGCATTCATAATCATCAAAACTAAAACGTCTGGAAATTAGAAATATGTATCGGTTTGTTTCAATGTACATTTTTTGCTGACTTCAACCAATTTTTACTAATTTCCAAAACCTTTTGTGTACAAAATTTACGTAAATGATACGTATAACTGAACACAAAATTATGCGAAAAAAGTTATACTATTAAAATATATTATAACATTTGCTTCTTCATTCTTCCTTCATATATCAGTACGAATCGTTAGTACACAATTTATCCCAAAAGTCCGATGGAACAAGAGAAGAATTTCAGGATTGGAAGTCTTACTAGTAGTTATTGTTCATTATTTTAAAATCATATTATACTGTAGTTAAAGAATGTGAAAAGTATGCAAGGGTTTTAGACATAAACGAAAAAGACAGCGAATTGTAAACTGTAAAACGTCAGGTAATCACAGAGTAGAAGCTGACACGTAAGTACACCGATATAAAATTGTCAAGTCAAAACTAAGAATAGAGGAGTTAATAAAGGTATGAGTGATGATTGAGAAGCTTAGATATCGAAGATACGATAAACGAAAATATAAATTGGAGTAATTTTAAACAACGAGGAAATCAGAAGCTTGAAATCTTAGAGACACAAGGAATGGGAACACCTGTGCCATTACAAAAGATTTTCTCACGGAGATGGTAATCTGTGTGGTAAGGTGAGGTGTGAAATTCTAAGGGCCGACCTCTTATAACCACTTCCATCCGTTATGAGAGGGCACCATCTCTGCAGATGATAGTTGTCCGAGGGAAACACCATGCTGCTATCACAACCCCCTGCAGTCACCAGTACGAATTCACCCTTCAGACCGTAAGTTGCAGCTTTAAGTCTTACCGTTCTCCAACCGACCTGCCTGGCATGTTAGGACCTAAAGGAACATATGTCTCAGCCAATGAAGCTCGGTTGAGTCATCATGATAGGCAAGCCCGACCAACACGTCAAGGTAACAGCCACCGTTGGGACTACTATTTACACGAAAAGATGACACATTAGTTACTTTCAGTTCAGCTTACCTTTAGCACGACCTTTGAAGCCTTTTGAAGCACCCAGTTGTTGTGCAGTTTCGCATGATTCAAACTTGGAAACAGCTCTTGGAGATGAAAGGTTAACAGACGTATCAAGTAAATTTGGAGAAACAGGTGGAACTGAAGGGATAAGACGAGCTGATATTGGAGTGCTAGGTAAGCTTGCGGCAGACGTCCCACTACCTCCTGCACTAGAACCTACAGCAACACCAACAAAAGCTTGGCCTGTGATACTAATAAGAGGACTACGATTGGGCTGACTTGCTTTTGATGAAATAACAGCTGGTCCTCTGGTTTCATTCAATAAGGTAGGGACAGATGTATTTTGACTAGGTTTGTTGGTTCCACGACAGGTACTGGTCAACTTGATCGTAAACTAAACGATGATTAAAAAGAAACCAACTTAAAAAGAAATTTGGGAACACAAACAAGAAAGAGACAATTTCGCCGAGTAAAAATGGAAATTTTATAGTCTTTCATCTGCTGATCTCAAGGATATTACTATTCTCCATTTAGTAGGTTGTTCGCTTTCTGTAGTAAAAATTAGTGACGAAATATCTTCACATCCGCAGAGCTTTATTGATTAGGGAACGGACGAAGACAAACAATTCACTTTGTTTTATACCTGATTATACATGAAACAGAACATAATTCAGTGTGAGCAGAATACAGAAGTCAAAAAACAAATGATCAGAAACATGTAATTAGTTTTGTACTTGCATTATAACCAGTTGTATAAGTGTGAGCTTCTTTAATAAGATTCGTTATCGCGGTTATTTTTATTGACTCTGACCCTATTTTACATATTTTAATGTACAAGATGTTTGGTACAATCTATACATAAGTTATTTGTACAACTACATGTAAAAGTTTGCGGAAAAATAGGTTTTACTACCAGCTAGTTTTTAAGATGAATAGTCGATCGTTGGGAAACCATAATGCAAAAGCTATGAAATAAATCGAAGCAACAGAATATTAGAAAATGTTTCGGATTTGTTGACCGATTTTCGTTCAACTGAATTTTATATTTTAGGTGTGTGTGAGGGCTAGTGAGGTTACATAGTCTCCCAAACAGATGAGGTGGGGGTTGCATCAGAAACCTATTGCTTGAAAGAATAATTTTCAAACCACAGTAATCACTTCATTTCACAGATAGCAATCCGTTCGCAAAATAAAAGATAAATGTGTCCGGTCTTGAAATGCTTAATATTTGGTAGTTGAAATCGATACAAACAGTAACATTTCTGATTGAATCGTACGAAATGTACTATAATGAGGGTTACATTGGAATAAGTTATATTTTTGATCCGTGGAAATTTTCGCCAAAAGCGGATGGAAATATGAAAAGCAGCCATTAACTTTGAAATTGTAAGCTAGATATTTGATTCATGAGGTACTTGGCAATGAAAATGTACGAAAATAGGTTCATGACAGTCATCAATCATTTAATGAGTCCAAGCTATAAATAACAACACTATTTAGATCGAAAAAATATTTTACTGAGTTTCCTAGATAACATGAGAGATGATATGGTAAAATTATTGGGATAATAAATGTTTGACAACAATATTAAAATATACTGTTATAGCATACTGTGAGGGTAAAAATGGTTGTTGTTTATTCAGCAATTAAGATGTGAATGACCTACAAGGAATGAAATTCTATAGAGCATTATATGGTGGAAATGTTGTGAATTTGGTTGAGCGATACAATTAAGTGAAAAAACAGCTCACTTTGCGTTCGCGATATGAAACATTTTTTATCATATTCCAAGGAAATGTAAATTGAGGTGGATCACGTTGACACTTTCCATACAGTTGAAGACCTGCTGCTGTAACACCAAGCCAAGCATTTGTGTGACATTGATTCTGGTAGAAAGAATGGGAGCAAACAAAATATCATCGTATATGCATAACCACCATCAGTACATGGATTATAAATATTAACTTGGTAATTTATCCCCAAAATAGCAATCAGATATCCACAGTATTTTGGATGAGCCGCAACTCATCTGTCAAAGAGAACACAAAAGGATTGTAATAAGATACTTATTGGTATGACTTCAATTTGACTGATTGTATACTTAGCCCTGACTACTTCGTTAAATATAATCGACAGACGAAATACTCAAACGCCTTTTCGAAACAAGCTGAACATCATCTGTGAAAACATATGACGTACGTAATGGGGTCCTAAAATATTTGAATGGAGTAAAAAACTCAGCAGGTACTTGAGCATGGGCTACACTCTAAGTGTGAGAGTTAGTGATACTACCCGATCGCCCAAACTGTAGTAGTTAAGGTGAGGTCCATACATGGGACTTAATAGTTAGAAGTCGTACGCCTTAACCACTCAGTTACCAAAACCCATCCCCAAAAAATATCTAGATATATGAACAGACACAAACCCTTTAGGCGACCGTTGATATAAACGTAGGTGATTAGTTCACAGTAGAACTCCAAATGGTGCATCTCCAGTTTTATGGCAATGCATGTAAAAGGATTTCAGAAGTCAATTATTGCTGGTAAATTGTGTGGGGATGTGAAAATTTAGCTGTGTGGCTAGCTCAACGTGACAGTTTGTTGTTAGTTGTATTTCCAAGTTTCCAGTTCCATCCTGACCACGATATTAATGAAGCTACATCTACTACAACCACATATGGTGATATTTAGGTGAGACTGAAGCTTTGGGTATTGTTCATATAATTTAACAATTAACCTAAACCGAATGTATATCTGTATAAAACCAGCCAAAGATGGCAAATGAAATACTTGAAAAATTAAATAGATTTTATTTGTCACAGGCGGAAACAGGGAAGTGGGCTAAATGGTTTGAGACTATAATGAATAGTATCCTGATGCTGTATGGTTGAAATTAAACAACAGAAAGGTCTGCAAATGAGTCTCATTAACTACTGTCAACTACTATGAAACATAAAACTAAAAAATTCCAGAGAACGATGTAACACAATTAAAAAATGAGTGAAAACAGATCACTAAGATGCATTTTCAGCCATGCAAATAAACAGTTATTATACGATCCATCAGAATGTATCTTTTGTGTTTATTTTATGACACCTTAAATTACACACTAACATGCCCCCAAACGCCCTGGTACTGCCGAGAGTGAGGAGAGTCTGCTCTCCTTCTCGAAATACACTCACACGGCCACGCGTAAACAGCCACTGCCAGGGAAGTCCTACTCATTGCCTTCTCACAGCGGGGGTGTTGTTTACGAAATTGAGAGGACGAAAACCGAGTGTCCGGCACTTTAACCGGATCACAAGCAAATGGTGCATATGGGCTCCAATCGTTGGTCACCGGATACCACGGGACTGCATCTCTTTACGATGAGAGCATTATATCTTAACAGACATCTATGACAAAGTCAAATGAAAATAGAAAAAGCAGACAACACATCTTCAGCTTTTGTTATCCACGACTGCCCATGATCATTGAGTAGCCTTTTCATCAATCTGCGATCAGGCTGCCTCCTCTCCTTATCGTTTTCAAAGCTTGATGAAACCGAGAACCGATCAGTTACGTAGACGCCAGAGAAATCCAGTGATTTTTCTTAAACTGGTTCTAATTACTGTTAGATAACACTGCTCATGTGTTTGGTGATCGTGTCAAGCTACCTCGGGGTGGATATCACTTTCATGCCTGATTAACTCCTTTAGTTGTTCCTGGGAAATATTCTTGGGTTTTTAATCACTAAGCCGGACTCCACGAGGTTTCCTGCTGTGACTTTTCTGCGTTCAGTGAGACAGATAAACACGTGGTCGTACGTGCTCCAAAATAAGCCCCAGTCTTATCAAGCTTCTTCAAAGATAGCTGATTGCAACATGGTATATTCGTGTCCATTGTTGAGCCACTTTTAGGTCAGCATTTTAGGTAATGTCTCTGTTTATACTTGAAGTTAGTTCCAGTTAGAAATAAGCGGTTTTCTGAGCATAGTCGAAGATGGTCTCTATGAGCTATTATTAGCTGAGCTGGTGTAACGTGATACCCACACAAGTACCTTTTAGTTTGCATAGGATTACCCACATAGTAAAATTACCTGCTACGAGTACTATATCTGAGTGTCTAGTTTTTTAGGAGATGAAAAGCCTTCCATGAATGTTCATTTTTCAAATTCATCTGAACTACAATTATTGAGAACGCAGGGATAGGCAATGATGAGACAACGACGTGTCCCTATATCCCCGAGTTTTGTTATCTCGTTTAGTCGAACAACGCGCAAGCGCCTATCTAGCAGAATCCGGTCAAGGAATACCTGTTCTGTTTTTGAACCTAGTGCTGTACCTACACCGGTGAAGTCACAGGAAGTATTAGTGGGGTCTCCAGATACACAGGGTAAATCACCCTGATTGAATTGTGTTCAAACAGATTACCACACTCGAATTTTGTATGCATGTATCGGAGATACAACACACGTCGACAGCGCGATATTCTAGAGTCCTAGTCAGGGAAGTCTGTGATAATATTTGACATAAGTTTCGAACACTCAAAGCTCCTAAATGTAGTTCAGAACGGTTTCTTTTATTGGGATATAAATTTGATTTATTTATTTATTTATTTGAACATATAATATTGGTACAAGGCGGCACCAGATATATATGCGCCGAATAAATTTCATTTGGTTTGTTTGAGGGCTGTGATCCTACCCGTGTGCCCAAACCGAAGCAGATGGTTTTCCTAAGGGGCTACACCCCGAGCCTTTGACCTAAAGGTCTAACCCACAAGGCAGTGGAGCATCGTAAGGAGATGCAGTCCCATGGTAGCCGGTGACCAACGATTGGTTCATACGCTAGTTGTTCCTGCAGGATACTGGAGCCCATGTGGACCATTGGTTTGGAATCCGGTTAAAGCGACGGACATTCGCTTTTCGTCCTCTCAATTTCGTAAACAACACCCTCGTCACGAGAAGGTAGTGAGTAGAACTTCCCTGGCAGAGGCTGTATACACGTGGCCGTGTGAGAGCATTTCGAGAGGGAGAGCGGACCCACCCCGCTCTCAGCCATACCAAGACATTAGGGGGCTCCGTTTCCTATAACATTAGCCTTATCCTTATGCCCCATTAGTGTTTACGGACTAGATCCTGGTTTTATGAAACTTCTACTTTCTGTTAGTACGACCTAGCTACTATTGCTCAGTATTCTTGGACACTACTTCACTCGACAAGTCCCAACTCAGAACACGGTTGAACAGGGACGTAATTATATTCCAAGTATTCACTAGCGCTGATTGGATAAGAACTAGCCAATCAACGTGCCCCAACACAATCCTGTACGCAACGTGCTTTAATCAAAACTGCCGTATGAACCATTTATTGGTCACCGGTTACCATGGGAGTGCACCTCCTTACGTAGCCCCCAAATGCCCTGGTACGGCCGAGAGTGGGGAGAGTCCGCTCTCCCTCTCGAAATACTCTCACACGGCCACGCGTATACAGCCTCTGCCCACACACAAATATGATAAACTGCCTATAATTATGGAAACTACGTTACTTGCTTCAACTAACAATCAAATTATTATTATTATTATTATTATTTTCCACATTATTCACCCTCTTTTATACTTATACAGCGGCTCGTCTTTGGTGGAAATTCGACTCTATCTAAACGTTCTCGAGTCACTGTCCAGTTGAAAATTGTATGTTACCACTGAATACGAATACTGAACTAGTTTTTCTGAAGCCACGTGCATCATTCAAACTGGCTGCCTTAAACGTTCGCACATTTATGCAGATCGGACAACAGATAGGGTTGGCTATGTCTTTGGAAAGTCTTAATATTGATGTTTGTTGTCTATCCGAGAGCCGTATTCAAGACTCTGGCGAAGTACTACAAATTCGATCTCCATCTGTCGCTTCGAACAGCTTGTTTTACGTTTATTATTATTATTTCAACACATAGATAATGGTACAAAGAGGCACCAAATACATGTGCGCCACACAAATCTCATTCGATATGTGTGAGGGCTATGATACTGCCCGGGTGCCCAGACCGAAGCAGGTGGTTTTCTTAAGGGGCCACTCCCCGAGCCTTTGACCTAATGGTCTGATCCACAAGGCAGTGGAGTATCGTAAGGAGATGCAGTCCCATGGAAGCCGGTGACCAGCAATTGATTCATACGCCAATACTGGATACTGGAGCCCAAGTGCACCATTGGTTTGGAATCCGGTTAAAGCGACGGACATTGGCTTTTCGTCCTCTCATTTTCGTAAACAACACCCCCGCCACAAGAAGGCAGTGAGTAGGACTTCCCTGGCAGAGGCTATATACGCGTGGCCGTGTGAGAGCATTTCGAGAGGCAGAGCGGACTCTCCCCACTCTCGGCCGTACCAGGGCATTTGGGGGCTGTTTTACGTGCGCTTATCCGGGGACCCTGTGGCATCTTCGTCTGGTCTTGCTGGCGTTGGTGTCGCACTAAGCGCTAGAGCTGAGGCAGCACTAGTCGATTGGATTCCCATCAACAGTCGGTAATGTGCTGTTAGATTAGAGAGTTCCATCAAAGTGAGAAGAAATCGGCGTGAGAAACGATGTCTTTTCGTCATCTCCGCCTATGCCCCGACAGATTGCAGCCCGGATGCAATCAAGCATGAGTTTTACCACCAGTTATCTGTTCTTCTCCAGAAAGTGCGTTCGACAGATATTGTGGTACTAGCCGGAGACTTGAATGCTCAGGTCGGGCGTCTAGGCACAGAAGAGAGTCGTTCAGGTGGCCGATGGGGACTCGTTGGTCGCAGGTCAGATAACGGGGACCGTCTAATGCAACTGTGCACAGACCACAACCTGTTTCTGGCTAGCACTAACTTTCGGCGCAGTCATCGTCGATGTGCCACCTGGCGTCCTCTCTCTGCATCTCAAGCCTGGACTCAGATTGATCACATCGCGATCTGCTACCACTGGCGTGGTTGTGTACAAGACTGCCGCTCCTTTTGGAGTACCTATCTGGACTCTGACCATGCCTTGGTCTGTGCCAATCTTGCCTTACTTTTCAGTGGCCAACGAAGTGACCGCCATCAACGGATTGATATTAGCAAGCTGGTTGCAACTTCTGTTGCAAGTAAGTATCGAACCGAGCTAGCCTCTAGGCTAGCTACCACTCCACTGAAAAGTATAGATGAGCATTGGTTGCAATTGCATGACGCCATGAAAATGGCGGGTACAGTCAGTTGTGGGTTCGCAAAACGACCCGCTTATAAGCACTGGGTTTCTTCAGGTTCCTTACAACTCATTGAAGCCCGTCGGTCTACTCCGGGTGACCTTGAGTTTGACCATAAACGAAGGATGTTACGTAAGGAAATTGGGCAAAGCTTGCGTAAGGACCGAGAAGCCTGGTGGTCGAAGCGTGCTAATGAGCTGGAAGCAGCAGCTGCATCTGGTAACTACCGGAAGCTCTTCCAACTCATCCGAGCCACTGGCAGCAAGAAGTCTGGTGTGAGCGAAACAATCTTCGAGGATGATGGGATGCCAATCACTAACATCCATCGACGTCTTGGACGATGGGCAGAATTCTTCGAAGGGCAGTTCAACTGGCCTGCTACTCCGGCAACATCGGTCAGACTGTCCTGCCCTCCATGGTCGGTGACGACTGATCCACCAAATGAGGAGGAAGTCCGCAAGGCACTCCAACTCTTGAAGCGCTACAAATCACCTGGCACAGATGATTTACCTCCGGCTCTTTTTAAAGATGGTGGTGACTTTCTGACTAAGGAATTGACGACGTTGTTTACAAAGGTTTGGGAACTAGAGAGTGTAACAACGTCATGGAATGAGTCGATAGTTAGCCCTATCTTTAAAAAGGGTTCACGTCGTTCCTGTAACAACTATCGTAGGATAAGTCTACTTCCGATTGCGTCCAAGCTATTGGCTTCCGTCATACTTCGTAGGTTGTTCAAAACCCGAGAAAGATTGACTCGCGAGGAGCAGGCTGGGTTTCGTTCTGGTCGAGGATGTATTGATCATATCTTTGCCCTCCGCCAAATGTTAGAACACCGCCATACTTTTCAAAGGCCAACAATCGTAGTGTTTCTTGACATCAGGGCTGCCTTCGATTCGTTGGACAGGGCTGTTCTCTGGGATTGTCTATTGAAGAAGGGATTGCCTGAGAAGTTTATTAACATCCTAAATGCCCTATATACAAACACCTCGGGTAGAGTGAGGGCATACAACCACCTCTCTCCATTGTTCCATTCGAGCAGTGGGGTTAGGCACGGTTGCCCAATCTCACCATTCCTCTTCAACTTTGCCGTCGATGACATTCTGGAAACAACTCTGATGGATGTAAGTAATGGTGGTGTGGATCTGTTGCCTGGAGAAAGACTTCTCGACCTTGAGTATGCGGACGATATTGTCTTACTGTGCGATAATGCCCAAGCTATGCAATCCGCACTTAATCAGCTGGCAATCAGTGTCCGTAGGTATGGTATGTGCTTTGCACCTTCGAAGTGCAAAGTACTTCTACAAGACTGGCAGGATTCCAATCCTGCACTCACCCTGGATGGTGAGCAGATAGACGTAGTCGAGAAGTTCGTGTATCTGGGTAGCTGCATAAGTGCTGGTGGGGGTGTGAGTGATGAGATCAATGCACGAATAGTGAAAGCCAGAGCGGCTTATGCCAATCTGGGCCACCTTCGGCGCCTTCATGATGTTAGTCTGGCTGTAAAAGGTCGGATCTACAACGCGTCAGTGAGAGCAGTTTTGCTCTATGCTTGTGAAACCTGGCCTCTCCGAGTTGAGGACATTAGACGACTCTGTGTTCGATCATCGCTGTCTCCGAAGGATTGCTGACATCCAGTGGCAACACCATGTCAGTAATGCAGAGGTTCGGCATCGTGTGTTCGGGCACAGAGATGATAATGCAATCGATGTCACCATATTGAAACACCGACTTCGGTGGCTTGGACATGTTCTACGAATGTCCTCCCAGAGAATTCCACGTCGTGCATTATTTGCCCACTCTGGGACTGGTTGGGAAAAGCGAAGAGGTGGTCAGTGCATGACATGGTGTCGTGGCATGAAAGAAAGCTGCCAAGGACTGGCTTCTGTTGGTCCTTCACGACTCCCTGGTTGGGGTCCGAGAGATGGTGCTACACAGTGGCTAGAGACGTTATCAGATATGGCTCAGAATAGAAGCCAGTGGCGATCCTGCTGTAACCTTCTTTTACTTTCTTCATAAAAAGTGGTTGTGTCTCCCTTACCTGAAAGATTTCTTCTGATTGTACCTTTCCGTTCCCCCATTATTACTACATTACCTTACACCAATCTCTTCGTTATTGTTCTCTTTTTCTTACGTACCTTACCTTTTTTCTCTTCCAATTCTGATTCTTTTGTGTGGCGCATATATATTGGCGCTCTCTTGTACCAATATTCATGTGTTCAAATAAATAAATAAATAAATAATTTTAAATAGAGCAAGAACAAACATTGATGCAGAATAGTATGAATTCATATTATTTCGAGGTTTCTCGTCAGCTGCTTAGAAACCAAAATTGTGATAGATTTTTTTACATGGAGATAAATAAATAAATGCATTAACATAACATTATTCAATGAAATAGCTTACAGTGTTGTCCCAAAGAGTTGATTCGTTCTGTGTCGCGCTTAAATTTCGAGGAAACTTCATCCGAGCATACTGAAAGAAACATGAGAGTAACGGAACCATTGGTTTGACACTGAATAATAGAACAATATCAATACTAAGCTCATGAGATATGGGAACGCTTACTATATCAAAAATCCTAGGATTTCGAGTACAACGTCTCTAACTTTGGGTCAAATAGGGGGGAGGATGTAGACTTCTTAACTAGTTTAATTTAGACAAGAGAGTGATGTAATAATTTTGTATTTATCGGTTTTCAGATTGTTTTACAGAAGCTCTCCAATATTTCCCCAACTTCCAGTATCAAACCTATCTTTTCTCACACTAGATCTGACTAAATGCTACCCTCAATTTTGTGCGACTGAGCCCCAAACCATTTGTTCAAGATTTCAATGTTCATATAGTAACTCTGTATCTCATCTCATCGACGTTTGCTATGTATGTGAAATAATTACACAGGAACTTAGTATGATCATTCTTTTGACCACATTTAGAATCAATATGATTCAACATTTGCATATCTGAAGACTCTGAAGAAGCACCTCGTGGTCTTGCATGTGCAAGCATATGAATAAGCTCGAAGCACTGTATGATTCGACTTTTATCGACAATCACTTGAGTACTGTTCGAATAAAAGAACTCAGAAAAATATCAAAACATCTCATTGGCTCTTCGTCGTTTCTGCTAACACATACACTGACTGCAGCTCAGAAGCAAAAGAAGTTATATCAGTAGATTTCTGATATGTAGTTGGTAATCCTGGCCTCAAAAAAAGTGGGCAAAGTTAAACTGAAAGATACTTAGACGGGGCATTTACCATACCAATCAAGTGAAAAGGTAACGGTATCTGTTGCAGTGGTGGTTAGGCAACCCAAACATACAGATAGACATTCTCGAACCCAGTGACCCACAGCATCATTATAGTGACGGGTGCCATTGGTGAAGATCGATAGTCAATGACAAAGTTGAACAAGAAAGGAGAAAGTGGACAGCCCTGACGAACACCACTTGAGGTAATCAATTCTGATCAAAGTTCGCCATAAGCTCTCACTCGACCAGTTGTGTTCGAATAAAGAGCCTTTACAAGGTTAATGTACTTCTTTGGTACTCCTTTCATCGACAAACACTGCCACAAAACCTTACGAACAACCGAGTCAAATTCTGCCTTAAGGTCGAGAAATACTACGATTGTGGGGCGTCTGAATGTGTGTCTGTGTTCTAGGACCTGACGTATTGTGAATATCTCGTCTATACAACCACATCCAGGTCGAAAAACAGCCTGATTTTCTCTAGTCTGTTCTTCAAGAGCTTTGGTTAGGTGTCGAAGTATTATTGAAGTTAATATTTTAGACACTATATTAGTTAAGCTGATTTCTCTGTGATTGTCATAAGAGGACTTTTGCCCTTCCTTATGGACTGTCACAATCAGTGATGGAGACCAGTCAGATGGGATTACGTCCAGTTCCCAAATTCTACCTAAGACCTCAGTCAATCTCGCTGCTAATACTGGACCGCCATCCTTAAAAATCTCAGGAGTGAACCTGTCAGGGCCTGCTGTTTTCCCTGGCTTCAGATTTCCGATAACTTTTTCAACTTCATAAAGAGACGGAGGACCTAAATTAACTTGCCATTCAGGTTGACTGGAGATCGTGGGAAACCGAAGTGTGGCTGAAATGATCCATAAAGTGTTCTGCCCATCTATCCAATCTCCTGGATTGAGAGTGAATAATATGTCCATTTTTTCCGAGATAGTTTCGTTAACAGTTGGGTTCCTAATACCGGATTCCTTAACAATTGTCTGCTATTAACTATTGCCGCTGCCTTTTCCATCTCTCTTGCTTTCGCTACCCACCACTGTTCACAATCATTGCGTAGACTTCTTGTCAGCTTGCGCTTAAGCTGACTCCGCTCTTCGTTATGTTCAGATCCAGATGGAATGAGTTTCCGAGCATCTATCAGTGCGATAGATGCTGCTGAGATCCGGTGTTGCTTCCCAACCTTACGGTTTGCCGTACTAGCAGATATCATTGCTGTTTCCACAGCTTTTCGGATATCATAACATGCTGCCTCGGGGTGGGCATCACATACATGGCTGCCTAACTGTTTTCCTAGTTGTTCCTGAAATATACTCTTAGCTTGACTATCATTAAACAGGACCCTAAGAGGTTTCCTTGCAGCGTCTTTCCTACGTCCAATAAGACGCAGACAAATAAGCGCTCGCACTAGAGCATAATCTGAATCTAACCATGTGCCTCAGAATGAGCAACAGTCTTCCATCGAGCCCCTCCAGCGGTGGCTGATAGCGATGTGATCTATTTGGGTCCAACGTTGGGACGAATTAGGGGGTCGCCATGTTAAAAGATGTTTTTCCTTATGTTTAAAGTTATTATTTGCAAGAAACAGGCAGTTATCTGAGCATAGCTGCAACAGACGGTCGCCATTATCTGTGCTTTGAGCCACGACACCATAGGATCCACCTAGGTGTCTTTCCTTATCGCTTAGTTTACCTACTTGAGCATTAAAGTCACCGGCCACTATTACTACATCCGAGCGCTTAGCTTTTCGGAGGTCCGAAAGCTTTCTGTAAAACTCATCTTTTACATCATCTGAGCTGCAGTCAGTGGGAGAATAGGCAGAGACAACGAAGAGTGTCCCTATCTTTCCGGATCCTTACTGTTCCGTTCAGTCGGACAGCGCACAAACGTCTACTGCGATCCATTCTAAGAGAGCTAGTTCTGCCCTAGGACTCAATACTATACCTACGCCGGCGAGGCCACGGGAAGCAGAATCCGGGCTTCCAGATACACGAAGCGTAAACCGAGTCGGTTCTTTATTTTGGCATGGTGAGGTCAAGTGAATGACGCTACTCGGATCTTGTATGCGCGTTTCGGAGACGCAGCACACATCGATGGCGCGAGATTCTAAAGTCCTAGCTAAAGAAGCCTGCTGTCCTATTTGGCAAAGTGTTCGTACGTTAAAAGCTCCTACGTGTAGTTTAGAGCGTGATTTTAGGAGACCAGAAATAGCGTTCCACGTACTCGAATCGTTTGCCCTAGCGGTGCGAGGTGAAAAAAGGACGTGAGAAGGGTTAGTCATTGGGGGTTCCAGCACCAAGCAAAGGTCACTTAAGTAACCCCGCAGACGTGACAGTGACAGGCAAAACAAAAGAGACAAGTTGAAAGTTCGGTGTTCACGAAATAATCTACGAAAACGATAGTCTTGACTGTTTAGGATAACGGACAGACCAACTCAACTAAAGCTCAAACACTTTTCAGTCGTCTACTAGTCATAAATAGCCTGAATGAGATACCAAAATTAGGCTTCAACAGTAAAAAAAAAGCTATAAATAACTGGAAGAGATGAACGTAAAAATATTTCATACACATAGTTCCTTTTATCATTTTGGAAAGAGCAGTATTTGAAGATGTCTGGCTACAGTTGAATATAATTCTGCCGACTATCATTTAGGTGCTGGAATTTGGAAAGCTTATTAAATAAGTACTGTAGGTCGTGACCGATCACTTATCTAATTTGATTACACAGATGCTTCTAGAAATAACAGCCTTTGTTCGACACTATATGGAATCGATCTCCTTATCACTACTACTAGTACACTTGTCTTCATAGTATCCATTTGCACTATTTATCTGTTATTTGTAGTCATGCAATCTATTTCAATGTGATGATTGGCTTATAAATTGCCTTGATCGATTTATATTTTCATATAAATATCCATGTATATTAAAGTCTGATGACGATCTAACTTGATACTATCGTTTGCTTATGTTTGGTTCTAATTGATATATCAAATTTACTTATCGACTTAAAGTACCCGGATGACAGTTCAATTTGCTGAGAATGCTGAGGAAATGAAGTCCTTTAAATCTCCTGAGTATGAATGTAATACTGTTTGAGACCCATTTCTCTCCTCTAAACTTGAAATATCAATTCAGAAATGGTTTGAGTTGCTGTCTGAATAGAACACAGCAAGAATAGTAGTTGAGTGCAGTGTTAATTTCATTTATTTGGGAAGTTGCATTAGCCTCGAGTGATCGAGGCTTATTAAATCTTGTATAAGGATATAGTACAGGAAGAAAGATTTAGTACGTAGAAAGATATCAACCAATTTTAATCTCTTAGTTTAAGGGAAGACAGAGAGTGTATACACCCACGCCATTGTGATCGATTCTGAGCCATGTCACTAAGAGTCTCCAACCATTCGTTACGATAGTTACGTGGAACCCAACCAAGTAGTCTGCATCTATCAACATGACTCAGATCAGAAGTTAGTGACTTCAAGGACTGACTCCACGTTTTAGTTTGACTGCCAGTAACTTTCGTCCAACCGTCTCCAACACTAGTCAGCATTGCACGTCGTGGTAATCAGTGTTCAGGCACAAGTAACACGTGGACCAACCATCTCAGTCGATGAAGATTTACAACCTCATCAACTGATTCCGTAATACCCTGTATCTAACCTCACTATTACTTACTCGACGATCCCAGCAGATGCGAGCACTCTTTGATCAAATAATGGTAACTTACGAGTATCTTCTAATCTTAATGGCCACGTTTCGCAGCCGTAAAGTAGAACAGAACAAACAGTCACGCAGTATACTCATCCATTAATTGATAGACGGATATCGCTTTCGCCATAGGTGACGTAAGTTGGCAAAAGCCAAACGAGCTTTCTGAATCCGTACAGAGATTTCGTCAGACACCAACCCATTAGGGCTGATCAGACCTACAAGATAAGTGAAGTTATCGACGCGTTCCACTACTTTACTACCTTTCCCTAGTTCAGGTGTTGACGCAGGCCAGTTCTAGCATTGCTGCTCAGTGCTACCATAAGACTGCATTTTATCAGTGTCTTCACCAAACAGGACTATATCATCTGCGTATTCTAAGTCGATAAGTGGACCTCCTGGTAGGAGACCAATACCCGAAAATTCAGTCGACGAGAACATTATTTCCATCAATACGTCTATGATGAAGTTTAACAAAAATAGAAATATTGGACAGTCTTGACGGACACCACTTGTGATTGCAAAATCAGATGACATTTCGCCATAAGCTCTGACTAGACTGGTAGCGTTCGAATAAAAAGCCCTCACAAGGTTTATGTACTACTGAGGAAAACCTTTCAATGACAAACACTGCCACAGAACCTCTTGGTCAACAGAGTCAAATGCTGCTTTTAAGTCAAGGAAAACCACCATTGTCGGACGCCGATAAGTATGCCTGTGTTCTAAAATCCGACGAATGGGAATACGTAGTCGATGCAGCCACGACCAGGTCTAAAGCCTGCCTGATTTTTTCGTGTTTGCAGGATCTAAACTAATGGGTCAATTGGGAATGATAGTGGTTATCTATAATCTTTATGACAATAAAAAACATTGTGATCGTGGAAGTAATATTCAACAAGTTGCCGTTGACTACGTTTTCGTTGAAAATCTTACATTCGGAGTGGAGTCCGCAGGTGAGATGTTTATCTAAAGAAACAAGTGCAATGTTTCTTGCACTAGAGAGAACAAACGCAACGACGACCTATTATTGTGTACAGATGAATTAAACATAGTCCATATTTAAAATGTCTGATATAAAACATTTTTATTAAAACGGATACTTACGACAATAGGGAAAAAATCCACCCCAAAAAGGTTATGCATCTGGGCTACCTTGAGATACTGAAGTTCCGCCTTGTCGCTGTAATATTATTTAAAATGGAAAGTGATGTTAAAAACAAACCGATTCATTCCCTTGTGGGATTTATAATGTTCCCGAAACTTCTGTGTTACACCTTGAGTGGACTGTATTTGGGTCCATAGTTGAGCTGGGATTAATCTGAGAATACGGCGTGGTAAGTATGTGAGTTCCTCTGCATCACTAAGCTCTTCCTCGCAAAGATCACCGTATTCTGCCTACAAAAAACATTGACTCTAAAAGTAAAACTAGTTTTTTTAAATATATATAACTGGCAAATTCAACAATCAACAGAGCAAGCAAACCGGCAATTTAGCAACAAAAACTTTCGTTTCGCTAACAAATTTTACGGTTGCTAAAGTAATCGTTATTACTATAACGGCCATCAGCTTAACGTAACTATGACTTTAGAAACATGGTAATTGCAAGTAATCAACAATGATTTCCATTGGTGATTCTAATTCGTAAACTACTATGAACTGTGCTGTTTTCCTGTCATCGATTTTTACTGAAAGATAAAAGCGTTACAACGAAACACGTGTACCAACCACCTCAGTTGGTAACGATTTACTACCTCGTCAAGCAATTTCCCATTCTCACCACTACACTATTCTTAGCCCAGGCACTACTTACTCAATGGACCTAAACTACACGAGCAATTCTTCGAAGACACCTATGATCGAATACTAGTAACCTACGAATATCCTCTACTCTTAATAGCCACGTTTCACAACTATGAAGTTCGGTGGATTGAAGTGTTGTACGCTAAACTTGTGCTTTTGTTGGCAAACGGATGTCCCACCTTCGCCACAAGCGACGCAAGTTGACAAAGGCCAATCGAGCTTTTTGAATCCATGCCGGGATTTCGTCAGACACCAACCCATCGGGACTAATGAGACTCTCATGATAAGCGGACGGTAGAAGCACCCTACTCTCCCACTTACTATTATTAGTTCAGGCCCTGATGCTGTCCAGTCTTGAAGCAACATTTGACATTTTAAGTGAGACAATCGGATCCCAAAAATGTTGGTGTTGCTCTCTAAGGTGGTCAGAAGACCCAGCATTTTGTCAACGTCTTCACCAAACAAAATTATATCATTTGCGTATTCTAAGTCAACAAGTGAATCTCTTAGTGAAAGATGAGCTACTGAAAAGTCAGACGATGAGAGCATTATATCTTAACAGACATCTATGACAAAGTCAAATGAAAATAGAAAAAGCAGACAACACATCTTCAGCTTTTGTTATCCACGACTGCCCATGATCATTGAGTAGCCTTTTCATCAATCTGCGATCAGGCTGCCTCCTCTCCTTATCGTTTTCAAAGCTTGATGAAACCGAGAACCGATCAGTTACGTAGACGCCAGAGAAATCCAGTGATTTTTCTTAAACTGGTTCTAATTACTGTTAGATAACACTGCTCATGTGTTTGGTGATCGTGTCAAGCTACCTCGGGGTGGATATCACTTTCATGCCTGATTAACTCCTTTAGTTGTTCCTGGGAAATATTCTTGGGTTTTTAATCACTAAGCCGGACTCCACGAGGTTTCCTGCTGTGACTTTTCTGCGTTCAGTGAGACAGATAAACACGTGGTCGTACGTGCTCCAAAATAAGCCCCAGTCTTATCAAGCTTCTTCAAAGATAGCTGATTGCAACATGGTATATTCGTGTCCATTGTTGAGCCACTTTTAGGTCAGCATTTTAGGTAATGTCTCTGTTTATACTTGAAGTTAGTTCCAGTTAGAAATAAGCGGTTTTCTGAGCATAGTCGAAGATGGTCTCTATGAGCTATTATTAGCTGAGCTGGTGTAACGTGATACCCACACAAGTACCTTTTAGTTTGCATAGGATTACCCACATAGTAAAATTACCTGCTACGAGTACTATATCTGAGTGTCTAGTTTTTTAGGAGATGAAAAGCCTTCCATGAATGTTCATTTTTCAAATTCATCTGAACTACAATTATTGAGAACGCAGGGATAGGCAATGATGAGACAACGACGTGTCCCTATATCCCCGAGTTTTGTTATCTCGTTTAGTCGAACAACGCGCAAGCGCCTATCTAGCAGAATCCGGTCAAGGAATACCTGTTCTGTTTTTGAACCTAGTGCTGTACCTACACCGGTGAAGTCACAGGAAGTATTAGTGGGGTCTCCAGATACACAGGGTAAATCACCCTGATTGAATTGTGTTCAAACAGATTACCACACTCGAATTTTGTATGCATGTATCGGAGATACAACACACGTCGACAGCGCGATATTCTAGAGTCCTAGTCAGGGAAGTCTGTGATAATATTTGACATAAGTTTCGAACACTCAAAGCTCCTAAATGTAGTTCAGAACGGTTTCTTTTATTGGGATATAAATTTGATTTATTTATTTATTTATTTGAACATATAATATTGGTACAAGGCGGCACCAGATATATATGCGCCGAATAAATTTCATTTGGTTTGTTTGAGGGCTGTGATCCTACCCGTGTGCCCAAACCGAAGCAGATGGTTTTCCTAAGGGGCTACACCCCGAGCCTTTGACCTAAAGGTCTAACCCACAAGACAGTGGAGCATCGTAAGGAGATGCAGTCCCATGGTAGCCGGTGACCAACGATTGGTTCATACGCTAGTTGTTCCTGCAGGATACTGGAGCCCATGTGCACCATTGGTTTGGAATCCGGTTAAAGCGACGGACATTCGCTTTTCGTCCTCTCAATTTCGTAAACAACACCCTCGTCACGAGAAGGTAGTGAGTAGAACTTCCCTGGCAGAGGCTGTATACGCGTGGCCGTGTGAGAGCATTTCGAGAGGGAGAGCGGACCCACCCCGCTCTCAGCCATACCAAGACATTAGGGGGCTCCGTTTCCTATAACATTAGCCTTATCCTTATGCCCCATTAGTGTTTACGGACTAGATCCTGGTTTTATGAAACTTCTACTTTCTGTTAGTACGACCTAGCTACTATTGCTCAGTATTCTTGGACACTACTTCACTCGACAAGTCCCAACTCAGAACACGGTTGAACAGGGACGTAATTATATTCCAAGTATTCACTAGCGCTGATTGGATAAGAACTAGCCAATCAACGTGCCCCAACACAATCCTGTACGCAACGTGCTTTAATCAAAACTGGTCGGTGATGTATTGATCATATCTTTGCCCTCCGCCAAATGTTAGAACACCGCCATACTTTTCAAAGGCCAACAATCGTAGTGTTTCTTGACATCAGGGCTGCCTTCGATTCGTTGGACAGGGCTGTTCTCTGGGATTGTCTATTGAAGAAGGGATTGCCTGAGAAGTTTATTAACATCCTAAATGCCCTATATACAAACACCTCGGGTAGAGTGAGGGCATACAACCACCTCTCTCCATTGTTCCATTCGAGCAGTGGGGTTAGGCACGGTTGCCCAATCTCACCATTCCTCTTCAACTTTGCCGTCGATGACATTCTGGAAACAACTCTGATGGATGTAAGTAATGGTGGTGTGGATCTGTTGCCTGGAGAAAGACTTCTCGACCTTGAGTATGCGGACGATATTGTCTTACTGTGCGATAATGCCCAAGCTATGCAATCCGCACTTAATCAGCTGGCAATCAGTGTCCGTAGGTATGGTATGTGCTTTGCACCTTCGAAGTGCAAAGTACTTCTACAAGACTGGCAGGATTCCAATCCTGCACTCACCCTGGATGGTGAGCAGATAGACGTAGTCGAGAAGTTCGTGTATCTGGGTAGCTGCATAAGTGCTGGTGGGGGTGTGAGTGATGAGATCAATGCACGAATAGTGAAAGCCAGAGCGGCTTATGCCAATCTGGGCCACCTTCGGCGCCTTCATGATGTTAGTCTGGCTGTAAAAGGTCGGATCTACAACGCGTCAGTGAGAGCAGTTTTGCTCTATGCTTGTGAAACCTGGCCTCTCCGAGTTGAGGACATTAGACGACTCTGTGTTCGATCATCGCTGTCTCCGAAGGATTGCTGACATCCAGTGGCAACACCATGTCAGTAATGCAGAGGTTCGGCATCGTGTGTTCGGGCACAGAGATGATAATGCAATCGATGTCACCATATTGAAACACCGACTTCGGTGGCTTGGACATGTTCTACGAATGTCCTCCCAGAGAATTCCACGTCGTGCATTATTTGCCCACTCTGGGACTGGTTGGGAAAAGCGAAGAGGTGGTCAGTGCATGACATGGTGTCGTGGCATGAAAGAAAGCTGCCAAGGACTGGCTTCTGTTGGTCCTTCACGACTCCCTGGTTGGGGTCCGAGAGATGGTGCTACACAGTGGCTAGAGACGTTATCAGATATGGCTCAGAATAGAAGCCAGTGGCGATCCTGCTGTAACCTTCTTTTACTTTCTTCATAAAAAGTGGTTGTGTCTCCCTTACCTGAAAGATTTCTTCTGATTGTACCTTTCCGTTCCCCCATTATTACTACATTACCTTACACCAATCTCTTCGTTATTGTTCTCTTTTTCTTACGTACCTTACCTTTTTTCTCTTCCAATTCTGATTCTTTTGTGTGGCGCATATATATTGGCGCTCTCTTGTACCAATATTCATGTGTTCAAATAAATAAAAAAAGAAAGAAATAGGAAACGGGCAGGTAGTAGTGAAAGAAGGATCTCGAGTTTGTTAGACGTATGAAGGGGATTACCAATTTTCAGTTTTCTACTCCATGGGATGATACTTCTTGAAGTACATGGAATAAAAACTGAATTAGCAATAGCCTTGAGGAACTAGGAGGGCGATCTCAACGCTCGTAGAACAACTTCAGACCGGTCTCGTGTGAGTGTTTTAACGTGATAGCTCTGTTCTTTAAATGACACTGCCGCCTGAAATCTATAGTGTAAGATGAAGTGTGATACTCTAAGGGTCGACATTTCGTTGTGAGAAGTCAGTATCACTATAAATCCTGGTCACCCACGGGTAACACCTTGCCTTAACACCTCGCACCTTCGTACAGTCAGCGGTACAACTTAGCTCTCGGACCTTGAGCTCTTGCGTTTGGTCTACCATTTTTCCAAGCAAACTCCGTAATGATCGGAACAATTATTTCAGCCAATATAGCTCGATTGGGTGCCGATATCTTGTACCAGTGTTTTACAAATCACAAAAATGACCTGCATATTTTTCTCAGCATCTATCGTAAGAAGCCTGAAATTCATGTGTGAGAATCTAGTTTGAACTTTATTGTAAAGAGGAAAAGCTACTCAGTTTTAGATGGGATATAGGGATTTTTATTCTTCGCATTGAAGTTTGTAGTTTTTTTTAGTATATTTCAGGTTTTTACTCACTGAACTACAAGACACAGACAAATCGCTTATGATTTCCGAAACCAATATTTCAAACTACTGTTCATGAGCAGTCAAACTTAACGCAGATTATATGACTAAACTATTCTTTAAAGATGGTTCTTACTGTATAAAAATGTTAAAGATCTTACATTAGTTAAATATGCTCCCAACATCCAGCTGTTCCGATACTTATTAACAAGCATGTATATGTAAAGTGAACAATCTAAAGAAGAAAAAATAAGACGGAGATTCTTGGAAATCACCTTGGATACAACTTCACTGATCTTCCTCAACTAAAGATGTGAAAAATTTAAGTCTAGGTGTTCTTACAAACGGAAATATAAGTTTAAATGACATGTGCTTCCTCTTTGATTATAAAGTGTAAAAGACGAGAGAAATTGAAATCAATGCAGTAAGAGATTATCTTCAAAGCATTGGGCGAAATGTGCTAAACTAACCTGAGAAGCCAATGAGGCAAGAAGAATAGCCACATCGAGGGACGGACAAAGATCGCCTGCATCAAAAAGGAAGGGTTTCGTACAACAATTAGTCAGAATTAAAGCACTTGATTGTCAATTCATCAATACTGCTGAAAAAAGGGAGATTTTTAACTACGAACTGCAAAACCTTTTGTTACTTCAAGTAGCCTATACTGAGAATACTCAAACAAGATCTCTTCACGGATGCTAGTGAGCCAAACTTAAACATGGTTTTTCACTTTCTATCAAGTAAATATCAAGGCAGTCTATTACCGAAAATGTCAACTCCAACTGCCATTCATCAATGGCTTCCTACCATTTATTTAATTTCGTCATGACAATTTCTTCATCTAACTTCTCAGGGGATGGTCCTTCACTAGGTGACTAACTCATCAACCGAAAATGCACTAATGACAAAGTTACATTTGGTGAAGATGGTGAAAAAAAATATAGCCTACAATCCAAGAAGTTTTGGATGTATTTCTTCCTTTCGAAATGCAAAATGGTGCTTTCTGACTGATCTGCGTCAACGCCTGAACTAATGATACTAGGTCAGTCATCTACAACGTAGGACCAGGCACACACCTCATTAGCACATGAAGATGAACACTAAATTCGTAGAACCAGTTACTTCAATGGTAGTAATGTATAAAAAAGATTGTGTATAAGGATATAGTACAGGAAGAAAGATTTAGTACGTAGAAAGATATCAACCAATTTTAATCTCTTAGTTTAAGGGAAGACAGAGAGTGTATACACCCACGCCATTGTGATCGATTCTGAGCCATGTCACTAAGAGTCTCCAACCATTCGTTACGATAGTTACGTGGAACCCAACCAAGTAGTCTGCATCTATCAACATGACTCAGATCAGAAGTTAGTGACTTCAAGGACTGACTCCACGTTTTAGTTTGACTGCCAGTAACTTTCGTCCAACCGTCTCCAACACTAGTCAGCATTGCACGTCGTGGTAATCAGTGTTCAGGCACAAGTAACACGTGGACCAACCATCTCAGTCGATGAAGATTTACAACCTCATCAACTGATTCCGTAATACCCTGTATCTAACCTCACTATTACTTACTCGACGATCCCAGCAGATGCGAGCACTCTTTGATCAAATAATGGTAACTTACGAGTATCTTCTAATCTTAATGGCCACGTTTCGCAGCCGTAAAGTAGAACAGAACAAACAGTCACGCAGTATACTCATCCATTAATTGATAGACGGATATCGCTTTCGCCATAGGTGACGTAAGTTGGCAAAAGCCAAACGAGCTTTCTGAATCCGTACAGAGATTTCGTCAGACACCAACCCATTAGGGCTGATCAGACCTACAAGATAAGTGAAGTTATCAACGCGTTCCACTACTTTACTTCCTGTCCCTCAGTCAGTCAGTCAGTAACTACGTAGAACTTCGTACATACGTACATCAGTTCGAGTTGCCACACCACATTAGCACAGAGATGCACTTGTCGATTCAAATCCCGTAGTGGTAGAGGTAATAAGAGTATATGCAGTAATCGGGAAGATTAGGGTTTGGAGATGTTATTTAAAGAGTATAATCCAGTGAAATAAATTTGGAAAGATGAAAAAAGGGACATGAAGAATTCAGAAGATTAGAATTTGGGAGAACACAGAGAGTGGATGCACCTGCACCATTGCAAACGATTCTGAGCCATGTCATTCAGGGTCTCTAACCATCGGTTGCTATCATCTCGCGGTCCCCAACCAGGTAGTCTACACCTACCAACATGACTCAGTTCACTTGTCAGTGACTTCATGGACTTGTGCCATGTTTTGGTTTGGCCACCCCTAGCTTTCTTCCAACCTACTCCTATACCACTGAACATAGCACGTTGAGGCAGTCGGTCGTTGGGCATACGTAACACGTGTCCCAGCCATCTCAACTGATGAAGTTTCACTACTTCATCAATTGATTTGCCATCCTTACCTAGTACCCGTTTCCTAACAACTGTGTTACTTACTCCATGGTCCCATGATATACGAGCAATGTTTCGAAGACACCTATGATCAAATACTAGTAACCTACGGATATCCTCTACTCTTACCGGCCATGTTTCACTGCCATAAAGTAGGACGGAACGAACTGCTGCACAGTAAACACGTCCTTTGGTTGATAGACGGATATCTCGCCTACGCCATAAATGACGCAAGTTGGTAAAAGCTAATCGAGCCTTCTGTATCCCTGCTGAGATTTCGTCACACACTAAACCACAAGGGCTGATGAGACTTCCAAGATAAGTGAAGCGGTCGACACACTCAACTACTTCACTCCCTATCACTAGTTCGGAAGTCGATGTAACCCAATCCTGAAGCAACATTTTGCATTTCGAGGGAGAGAATCGCATCCCGAACATGCTTGCATTGTTGCTTAGAGTGGTCAGAAGACTCTGCATTTTGTCAGCGTCTTCACCAAATAAAACTATGTCATCAGCATATTCTAAGTCAACAAGTGAACCTCCCGGTACAAGTTCAACCCCTGGAAATTTAGATGAGGTGTTGAACTAGGGACTTCCTGTCCCTAGTTCAGGTGTTGACGCAGGCCAGTTCTAAAGCAACAACTTGCATTTAGAGGTGGAGAAATGAATTCCAAACATTCTAGCATTGCTGCTCAGTGCTACCATAAGACTGCATTTTATCAGTGTCTTCACCAAACAGGACTAGATCATCTGCGTATTCTAAGTCGATAAGTGGACCTCCTGGTAGGAGACCAATACCCGAAAATTTGGTCGACGAGAATGTCATTTCTCGCTTTCAGTTTATGACGGAATTACACAAAAATGGGTATAGTGGACAACCTTGCCAAACTTATGATGTGGGATGAAGTTGTTGAGCGTATCGACCACTTTCCCTATATTAGAAGTTTCATCAGCCCTGGTGATGGGCTCACATCTGAAGAAATCTCGTCACAAACTCGGAAAGCTTGGTTGACTTTTCCCATTGAGTCACTTGTGGTATAGGCCCGATATCCGTCTATCAACCAAAGGACGAGTACAGTGGGCAGTAATTCACTTTGTTTTACTTCAAAGCCGTGAAATGTAACCTTTAAAAATAAAGCATATTGTTGGGTTACTAATATTTGATAACGGATACAACCGGACCAGTGCTCGTATATGTTGGGACCAACGAGTGAGCAATGTTGAGGTAAGATGTAGAGTACTGGGTGAATAACAGGTTGTTACAGCTGACTTAGTCAATAACTTGTTTCTCTAAATCTGTTTCCAATTATAAGGGTGTACAAATCCAATCTTCAAAAAAATCCCATTTAATTCCAGATAGTTTATCTGCTGTATTTATGTATATGTGTGCAGTTATTGGTTTCTTACACTTTTCTTTCCTCCTTTTTGTGGACAAAACTTGTTTACATACTTTTTGCTGGAAATTTCATATTGTACCAGGAATATAATATTGAATAAAGCCACTAATAACGATAAGTAAACGACTTGATAAGCAGTTATGTGCTGAGAAACATAGGCATGCATAACCGGGGTTTATGGCAAACACGATTAAAATAAAATGGAAAGTGTTTCGAAACTGAATAAAACAATAGGCTATTGATATATAGGTATAACCGTAAACCTACCAAAACAATTTCCATTCATATTGGATTCGCTTCGATTTAAAATGGTGGATTTGACACTTAAATAGAACAGACGACGAGTTGTAGCTTGTATTAGTTCCTGTTCAACATCTTCAGGAAAGAATTTGGTGTGAAAAAAGAAGCAAAGAGACTTAGAGATATCTTCTGGTTTTTGTGAAACAATCTAAAAGTCAGTAGTTGAGAAAATATTAGATCACCTTCTTATCTAATTTAAGCCAGTGAGAAAGTTGCATTCTTCCATTTGGAAAGAAGCTATAAAATTGTAATCCGAAATACCACGTCTCTCTCAAGCCAATTGTACTGCAGACTAGATCGAAGAGGTATTTTCCTGTGCTTTTAGGCTGGAGCAAAGGTGCTTATTGTAGAAATAAAACATACCGATATGTTAAACTCCAACTCAGACTCATGCAGTGTTACTCTGATCTTCAAACATTTAGCATCCGAATTATTCCACTTCATCGAATGCTGAAATCTGCCGTAATATTACCAGTCAATGCTGAATTAACATAACTTTCAGGTACTTGAATAAATTTGTGCTAAAGAATGTGGCGAAATATTCGACCGCATGAAGTTCAAGGAAACAAGATAAAAAGGTGTATTTGAACTTATGGGAGTTTCAGCGCAGCATACCATATTGTAACAGTCTCGATGGTGCTGACTAGTGTTCCAGATGCTAAGCTTATCTAATGAATAATGAGATTAGATCCATCTTATTCAGCTACGTTAACCCAAAGCACTACAAGTCAACCATACTTAGATGCTTTAACGAACAAACTAATATAACAAATCTACAAACATATCACTAAATACCTTTAGTATGAGTAGTTATGAGCCGATCGTCGAGAACTACACACAAACCAGACTTTAGGGCTAGTGGAGCAAAGCAGCATACATTCAAAAACCCTAGCGACGTGAAAAATTACTCTGATAGGCTAACTCAGAGTTTTTAAAGACGACAAACCAGTTTAAACAGCACGGCTACTTGCATCGTCTACTAGTCTAGGCGTTGTACAAACCCTACCTAATTGATCTTGAACACCGACAGTTTTCGTATTTAAGAAAGGACAGGAAACACCTTGTGATAGCCACAAAGGGATCGATCTGACCAATGAAGAATTCTAAATACTAGTTTTCATAGTTATTATCTAACTGCAGTTCATGGACAGTAAATACTAGAAGTCCAGACTGGTTCAAAATGAGAACCTGTCCTACAACACGGCAGTGCTCTGAAACCAAAGAATTGTCTACAAAACTGTTCGTAAGTATAGCTAAAAAATATTTATACATCTTAAGCCTTGTATCTACTATCAGCTGCCCTCAACCATTTAGACTTATTGTAATTAGTAATTTACTAGTCACTTTGAAACTTATTGTTCACTGTAACTCTTTAATGCTTTAGCTTTATGTGACCAACCCATATTTTGTAAAAGTTATACATACTTTACCCGAACTACCTCCACTACTGCCTAAGAATTGTTTATAGACTTCAAGGTCAGTACTAACGTCGGAAGTGCAGTTTATTCGAACCTCTCTTTCAAATTACTATTAGAGTAAACGCATAAAGTGGTGATGATGTTTAGAGAATGAGTTCTACTTTCACGAACTCTGATATGGCTTTTTCGCTTAATTTTATCTCAGAAATAAAATTACCTATCATGGTAATTATAGGCTGTCTTGTAGTCATCGCGAAAAACCAGTTCATTTAAGAGTAAGAACGTTAATCTAGGTCGTAGACACCAGTATTTTAATTTCATTAGACATGTGCAGTATATCTAATATATCTTTAATGAGCTAGTTCTGAAGTAATCGTAATAATGATAGAAGCGAGAGTAATCGTAGAAATCTGCAGTTCTGACGGGTGACTTTTTTGAGAATTAGTGAGATTGACTGATGTAGCTGAGAGGTTTGTAGCAGCTGAATTTCAATAGTACCGGAGCCCTGTGAACACTATATTTGGGGGATCTACTCGAACGATAATATCCCCCATCTGGTTGGTTTCGAGATCAAGCTGTTGAATTAAGTAATTCCCAAATATAGATGCTTAGTTAGTAAGTACCACTGCTGTTGATTGTCTTAATTTTTATGGGCACGTCACTAGCTGAATAAATTCAGTTAAGTATCCTAACAAGTTCAGGTTTTGTTTCGTCGCAAAACACATTGGTGATAACTAGCCAACGTAAAAAATCTGCACTAAGATATTTCTGTCTACTTTTCAATAATTCCTAACACTTGATCTGGATTAACTATCCCAGAAACACTTCGACAGAAGGTAGTGAGAAACCTATACGGCCAGATTCCCCACTACCCGCTCTTATTTGATTGATAAGCTTGACGTGACATAGAACATGGAAGGATATTTTACGGGTTAATTTATCCGCAACGCCTCTGTTTCTCATCCCAAAGTTTTTCCCACACTGTGACGCAATGTTTTTTATATTCTGGAACTGTTTATCAACACTTAATCTCCTCTGATGATGAATATATTTTAAAATTCATTCAGAAATCATGTTGTTCTGACCTGGAAATATCGATGTTTAGTCCCAATATTCAGAAACATATTCTCAAACTCAATGTAATCCGACGACGAGCACAGCTTTTTGTATTTGTCAGAACACTGCCGTGGGAGTTGAACGAGTACACTGGGTCGAACACGTTTGCAAACACAACTCCGCACCATATGGGATTTTGAGGACGACTGCTTTTGAATAAGAAGACCTATAGACTGGTAGAGCGAATATCATCACTCACGTTGAAGAATTGAAAATATATGACTGTTCAATAACCGTTATGTTTAATATCATCAATTTTACTGTGCTTTGATTTGGTATCTTCAGAGTTCTTTTCTGGAAGCCTAAAAATTGAAGATTCTTTGTGCAACTGTTGTAATTATTATTAGAACGATTTATTTGGATTGATTGCTTGTAATTTGTATATGAATTTTGTACCTGATTTGGAATTTGACTCTCTTGTTATTTAGGTCGTCAATTACAGGTGGATCAATAGACCGTACTTTAGTAGCGGACTAGAGCAAAATTTGAACGTAACACTCATTCTATATATTATATATTTCATTAGTAAAGTTATGAAATAGGAAACACAAGTTTAATCTTGGATATTTACAAATAGGTAGGCATCTATTACCGTCTGAGAGCTCCACAACCCTGAACCGGCCACCTATCCTCTCCATTTTGCTACAGGAGATTATGTTAGGGTGGCGTTCAGTAGTTGTCATGGGATGATTTCCAACCTTTAGAAGGCGGTCAAAATTTGGCAAATATCCTATATCTCGCAATCGCAAAAGCCACTTTCTATGCGATCGCAGGAATCATCACAGTTTACTGTCGAAAGGTTGATGATTAGCTTTGGTTAAAATCAGAAATCTCATGACTATAGCCAGTAACTTTCCAACCGCTACTGGTACGGTTCATATTTAATTCGGTGGAATGATTTGACTTTGCTTGTTATATCCTTACCACATAATCCTCAAAGCTGAACATGCAATAACTGGGAAAATGTCTATTCAACAATTAACATGGAGAGAAAATCAACAATGGAGAAGGCGGGAAGAATTAGTTGAATTGAATGGAATGGCATGGCTCATGACAATTCTTGTGTTACTTATCTTTTTTGTTTGATATTGAATAAATTGTTCCATCCCTAGCCTGGATGTATTCTCCAGAAGTAGGTAACATCATATTGGACATTCTTACGGCAGAACAAGTTAGTTTACACAATGGTGTGACTTCCATGTAAGATCTTTTAGATAAGGTAATCATATCATGACAAACGTGCGATTTAAGGAGTAGGCCTGATATTATAATAGTACTAGTAACGAACTAGACCATAATTCTACGAGCTCATTGTTGACTTCATCTGGCTGGTTTCGCACTAAACGTTCAGTAGTGCCCGTAAGTATGTTCAAATTGTATGAACGAGAACGACAATTTTTGCGTTCTTTATTTCTTTTGCTTGGGGTAGCCTGCTCGAATTTCTTTTAACCATTTGCGTCTAGACTACTTTCTCTTTGAGGCTTGTGATGCACGCGATAAAATGTACAGTGATTGGGCCTCAAAATGTTTGTACATTTTGGTTATGGTGCATCGTACGCTATTCGGCTGCGAGAACCCTCTCCGTGACACAAAATGAGATACATCTCAGATGGTATAGCAAAGTTTTCAGATTTAATATATTCGCAGTGCTGTACGTAGCATGAAAGGGCTTGGATCCATCCTTATCTTAGCACTGTTTCACCTACGACATTTTACTGACCGAAAGTCGAAGATATCGTTAGAATCAAGGTGATGACCTAACATTTTGTTTTTCCTTAGAAAACCCCTATGACCCTTTGATCATCTGATGAAGAAAAACGACTTCTCATCTCTTAACCTATGAATGAATACGGTCCTACAGCTTTATTTTTTGTAGGTGTTTGAATGTAGGACCGGCTAGACTGTTCACATGTTGGGTCACTAGCCATATATTTTGTTGATTGACATAATTTATGCTGAGTGGTGGTCTCCAAAGGAAGTTGGGGATCAGTGTTTATGACTGTACGCTCCTCATTCCATCTCCATATGAAGTACTTTTTGAGCGATACCGTGATTCGTGAGGTTCAGAATAATTTATCTGGCAGAAATAGGTAGCATTCTGTTTTTGACGTAATAAAGGATTGGAACTGTATGTTTATATGTTTCAAGCAGTAGCATATGTGTAGAATTACGGTCTACTTCGTTATTAGCATTGCTCTATCAATAGACCTTATCCTAAGATTGTAGGTTTGTCACGATATAACTGCCTAATCTTTAAGATCTTATGTAGAAAACACTCCATTGTCTACACTGAAATATCGTGTCGTAACAATCACCAATACATGATGGAGAGCACGTTTTGGCTAGAGATAGAATAATATATTTAATATTAATAATATATATGACAACACACAAGAGGGACCAAACCTGCAAGGCTGAACCATGCCATCCGATGAGTTGAATTTTGAATGAATGTTGCTGTGTTCACCATTAATGACCTTCTTTTGTTGTTACATGTTGAAAGCCCACTTTCCCAGTTATCTCGTGTTCAGCTTCAAGGATTGTGGTCAGGATTCAATGTCACTACAGTTTCCGTAAGTATAGATGAGAGATTTTACTACTACAATGAGGCTGTCTCTAACTTGTTTAAGGGACCATTCAAAAATGTCTGTTACAGCGAGTATGTCAGACGCTAAATAGCGATATATTCACTTGCTGATTTATTGTCAACGAAGGCGATTCATTATTGCTGTTGAAATGGCTTCGAGAAGCACATTGTAGCATACAGGGGCTCCTTAATAGCTGAAGAGTTCCTATGTATTCCGAACCTGATGGAATCTCCCAGATTATCAAAGTGGCACTCTATAATTGGACAATTACAGAACGCGGTGGCGAATACCGAAAACTACAAATATCCATGTTTTTCTGTAC